TCCTTAGGAAATCTTCCACCCATGTGGACATGTTTCCAGAGGTTCCCAGTTTCTTGAATTTATTCATTAGGCCCATGCGCCATACTCGGTCGTACGTCTGCTTGAGATCAAAGAAAAATGGCATCGTGTGATTTTTGTTTTGGAGCTCATTTGTCATGAATGGATCACCTGGTCCATTGACTATCACTCCTTTCTTAACCCACCTTGCGTCGGTGGTAGGCACTTTTTCTCTCCTAAAAACCAGTAGAGTCACCCATTTACTATTCGTTCAGCTACTCCCCCCCCACACATGCTGTTAGCGATATCAGCCTGTAGATGCTTGGTAAATGGCATGGTTTACCATCCTTTGGTATTGGGATGACTATGGGTTTCTTCCAATTTTTTGGCAGGGTGCCTTTAGTTCAGGCTCGGTTTATGAGAACCAGCAGAATCTCTCTCCCCTGTTTACCCAGGTTGGTCAACATCTCGTTATGAATCTCATCGGGACGTGGTGATTTTGCATTCTTACACCTATTCAATGCGTCGCACAATTCTTCCATTTTGAAGAGGGACGGGAAAATTTTTTAACCTTTTTGGACAGCCGCCCGAACTTTAGCCGTGAGTCCGTTGTAGCCTGCACGAGCAGCAGACATCTTCCTTTTCGTGGCTTATTTTCGGGCTTTCGCTCTTCGCGACACCATGTCTTTCAGTTCCCTATTCCAGTAGGATCTGAATTTTTGTCCCCCGTTCGTTCTGAGATCGTTTTTCGAGGAACCTCCAGAATGGTACCATTAAAGCTCTCAAAGGCAGCATCAATTTCGATCCACTCGACGTCTAGCAAACTGAGCTTGGTCTCCGTTTGCTGCTAGTACTCGCTCCATTTGGCTTTCCGGAATAGCCAATTTCGTATTTCACACGGGGCATTAGTCGTACCAAAAGTAATCTCTAATAATATGGGAAGATGGTCGCTCCCAATTCCTGCTATGACTTCCACACGTTGACTGGACGCTAGATCCGCTGATATGAGGATCAGGTCTGATCGGGATTCCGTGCTGTGCCCGGTATGGAGTGGGATGGGCGCACTCTCTTTGTCCTGCAGTCTGATGAGATTCGTCTCGAAGGGAAACTTCTTCCACGTGTCTACCTGATGCGTTTCACTCTGGATAGCCCCACATGGGCGACTGGGCATTAAAGTCTCCTGCATTTATTGTCCCCTGGTAGGGAGCGTGATAGTTTTGCGAGGAGTGGTGTAAACATTCGACACGGCGAATGTCTTGCCCTGTTTATTGACCCTAATGGTTAGGGTATCCGTATTCGAACAGTTTTTCCTTTTAATGACCTCCACTACGAGGTAATTTCTTACAGCAGTGGTAACATCACGACTCGCATTGGTAAATCGAGTAACCAGTGATGTGAAACGGCTTATCGTGCAGCAATGTTTTCTGGAATAGCGCTTCGTGCACTTCACGTTCGATGAGTAGTTTGATTACTTCGTGCGACTTTTGCCTGATCCCACACACATTCAACTGTAGTACAACTAGGGCTTGTACTGGATGGCCCTTCGCACCAATTCGTTCACGACCAGTCGCTTGTTGGGCACGCCTGTCACGCGTCACATGCGCAAGAGGGGACATCTTCCCCTTGAGGACTTCCACGTTATGCTGTTTCTTGTATTTTCACAAATATCTCGCTAGCATAAGTGTATCGTGATTTATGACTAATTATTTCGTTCATAAAATGCCCTTCCCACCCTCCCCACGTCCCATCTGATGATGAAAAAAAATGTAAAAGTTTTTCTAACAAAGACGAGTTAAAACGCATTAAATAATTTTGTTTACAATTGTTTCAAATGCCTTTTTTCACTTCCTGCTTTGTTGTGTATTTATTTTAATCACATTCTTTTTGCTGTCCTATCGGATATAACGCAATTGTTTGTTCGCCGAAGAAGGCTTCTTTGCCTCGCTTCCATTTTCCCAGGTTTTCCTATATTTTGTTTCGTTCCTTTTTATGTTACATAATTTTGTTGCAGTTTCTTCCCCTTTTAACACGAGAAAAATAAATAAATTTGCAGTTGGCCGAAAATGCCGCCCCTCCAAATAAAAAAAAAAGTGCCACCTGGGCAGACCGTCCCCTCCACCCCCACCCTTCCCGCGCTACTGTTCCAGAGACATTATGTCCTCCTATAACTATCAGATTGCGTCCTTGTGGGGCGTACACACAATTTAGGAAACACTGGTTTTCGGTGACTGGAATTCATGGAATTGTCATAATGGTCTATAAAGAAATACTTTTGAAAAAAAAAATTAAGGGGTGGGGTGAGACCTTATTGTACGTTTGTATAATGGGGGTGGGGTGGAGGGAAAAGATTACGGATGCAACAGGTGATGGAGGTTCTAAAATTTGACTTTTTATTGCATACATAGTAGATGGATGGCCACCAATGAGAAGAAAAGCAACACAAAGTTTCTATGTTAGGAATCAATTAATGACGTCGTACAGGGCGAATTATCAGCTGGTGATGGGTAACTTTTTTCCCCCGGGTAATTTTGTAATAATAAATGTTTGGAGTCTTTGAGCTTTGGAAAATAAAAATAAAATAAAAAGTAAAGTGTACCAATGCCAAAAATATACATTGAATTACTATCATTCAACATCCCATATTTTAACAATCAGTGCACCAATGAGACAATAGATGTGAGTGTCAATTCAGGAAGGCAAATTTTGTTGGAGATGCTTTACAAGCACAAACATTCCATTTGTTCATAGGGTAGGAAGGTTCGTACCTGATCACACAAATATTATGTTATCAAAATACATCATGATTTTAAATAAAATATTTCCAAGCAAGACCTACCTTAATTAAGATAATTTAGCCTACAAAGGCTTGTGTCTATTTCCAGTGTTTAAAAAAGAAAACTGTTTAGAAGCTGTGATAGAGCCTAGTGGATGGTTGAAACATTCCAGGCGTGTTTCTTGAGAGAAGAGTTATTGAGACCTGGTGATTGATTCACTTGTTATCTCGTGATTGATTGCTCCGTGTGCAGTTGATACAGCTGATACCAACACAATGCAAGGGCTGAGGTGGGTGGACTAGTTCAAAAATAACGTTACTTCTGTGTTGGGGAAATCCACTACCGTGTCACAGCGACGCCTTACAAAGTGCAAATCCTGTCTCCTATAGTGGGCTCATAAGTGCAGTATATATACAACGATTAAAAAAAAGCATAATACTGCAAACATGGGCACTCAAAGCTTTAGATGACACCCCACTTCTTTCCACAAGGGCTAAATCACAACTTAGTATTGAGAAAAAAATTGCTAAATCAACTCCGATTAATGTTAACTTAATGATTAACAAGGACTTTTTATTATTGCATAAAATAGTTTGAAAATATTAAGACCGTGTGATTATGTGAGTTTTCTCGTTTCCAATAAGTTGCGGTAAGACTAAATTAAACAACCATTAAAAGTAAAGTTTTCGGATTAACATTGGATTATGCATTTTTAGATTTATATTAATTTTCTAATGACACACCCGCTTTTCACCAACCATTTCAGGAAGACAAAAGGAAATGGTAGGCATCAAACGCACATGCCATATTTAAAAAAAAAAAAAAGAGAATATCATTTAGCTTCGTTATTGGGAATTTTATTTTGTGAAATCATAGTTCTTTCATCTTCCCGTTTAAAAAATTAGACACGAAAAGCACAGTTTTGTGGGATTGAGATTGGGAGGGAGGGGGTCGGGCTGAAAATTTGAAATAATGTGTTGTCATCGGTACCGAGTCTATGTGCCAAGTTTCAGCTAGATAGATTGACGGGAAGCGGGTCCATTAACCATCCGTCTTATGTAAAAAAAAGATATTTTAATAAGATTTGAAAAGTTGATGATTTTTCTATGTGTTTGTTAGTACCGCTTACGTTTCTACAAGATCTAATGTGGCATTCACAGTTATTACACTATATTATCCAGAAGGAAATACAAATGCCGTTCATAGGCAAGGGTGTAAACGTCTTTTTCTTATAAAATTAAATTAAAATAAATATATAGATATAGTATTGTTCATCCGTCGAATATCGACGATGACATCGAGTCGTCAGGTGACTGATGACTTGCGCGGGCGACTTTTGTTTAAAGTGAGGAAGAGTTGCGAGCCGTCAACCTCACTCTCTCGTCCGTGCTCACTATATCCAGTTGCAGGACTCTACGTCAAGACGACCAGGGATGGGTACGGTTGCAGGAATTGTCATTGTATGCGGCTTACGGGAGTCCAGCCCCGGGTTTGAATCAAGAGTTTCCTTCTCTTAGATGAGTTGCTGACCAAGGTTAACGCGTCTCATCAATCGGGGGTGATGTTTTCGCATGACTGGCCCTAGGCTGGAATTGAACTCCAGACCACCGACTCAAGGTTTGCTCAGTTTAGACCATTATAGTAGATCCAGTATAGATCTAGACCAATCATGGTACACAAGTCCTAAAATATCTATATTGAAAAATTGGATGATCACAACACATTAGTACAGCAGTGAGTATATTATTATAAATTCCTGTTATTTCTTTGTCTTTGATGTCTAGTTCTAGCCCACACTTCAGCATGACTTGTTAACCTGACATCAACCTCTGAGGCCTTTTAAAATTCATTGTAAACCACCGAAATTTGGTCGATCCTAAAGTTTCAGACTCGCAAGGTTTTTTGCTTCAATTCGAAATTTAAAGAAAGGTATTCAAAGACGTAGCGACATAACCAATAATTTATTTTAAACGAATTATCCAGTCACTTTCCATTAATTTAGTTTATATAAAAAAAGAGATCCCTTTTACTATCCAGTGGGGAATTTTTGTTTGTTAACCTTGCAAACAAAGTAGGCTGTGTATATATTTAAAATGCATAAGTCATATATGGGTGGGGGATGTTGCCCCTTTCTATTATTGACATTAAAATAATATATTATTGTTTTATGTCGTCATTTGTTAAAGAATAAAATCAACAATTTCCACTGATGGTATTTTTATTTTTTTTAAAATGGAGAACAAAGATTAATTAATTTATTTATTAATGAAATGGTAGAAGATAAAGTGTGTGAAAGAAAAAGCATATAAAGCCTTTGTCCGTCCGGTTTTAGATTATGCATCTTCAGTCTGGGACCTATTTACCAAGAAGAGCATTGACAGGTTGGAGGCGGTCCAGCGACGAGCAGCACGCTTTGTCCTGAACCGCTACAGGAATACCTCTAGTGTTGGCAGCATGCTGGAAACACTGGGCTGGTCACCATTGGAGGAACGACGACGACAATCCAGGCTCTCCATGATGTACAAAATAAATAATGGGCTAGTCCACTGTTCCAGTATTAAACAGAAACTTGTCCTCCCCCATAAACAGAGACGAGGCCATGACAGGCAATTCAGGCTCATACCACCAAGAAGCCAGTATAGGAGCTGCTCATTCCTGCCCAAGACAATCAGGGACTGGAACAATCTTTCAAAAGGAACAGTTGAGGCGACAACACTAGACACATTTGTGTCTATTGCCTCAAGCCTTCAAACCCCCAGTGCATGATTCCCTCACAAAGTGGCACTGGGAAAACAGTTACATTTCCTCATCAACACCAGGCACAGAAACATTTCAAATCCCATCTACATGCATAGGAGCCAAAATGATCAATAAATTGATCGTGGGCCCTTAAGATATAGAAGAACAAGAAGAAGAAGAAATGCGAAAATTTCAGAGTTAAAAAAAATAAATAAAAACAAGCGTATTTCTTCTCAGCTTTATTCCAGGTCACTCACCTCCCCCCCCCCTCCTTTTCCAGTGCTTCTCCACAGAAACATTGTTACATTAATACAGTTAGTTCTTGGAGAGTGATGTGGGCTTTTGTAGGAGATCGTAGGGTTTGGGTTAATAAATCACTTTTTATTGCAAGATTAAAGGGATGTTTCCAATGTAAATTAAATATTTCTTAAAATAAAAGGAACCAGTGATTATCAGGCCTATATTATAAAAAGTGTAATATATGGAATACTATTCGATACATGCTAACCTTAGAGGTGAAAAGAGTGTTAAAAAGATTTTTAACAAAATACACTGCATGAAAACTGTAGAGAAAAAAAAGAAGAACAATCGAAAGAAGTATAATTTAGAACTTTTTCATCATTTTTATCAATGTTTTGAATGCATGAAAAAAAATATACTCTCCCTTTCGCCACTGCGCATACATTTGAGCATATTCAAATCAGATGAAATCATTCATAATAGTGCACAACGCATCTTTTAAATGAAAATAGCTTGTTAATGTCTTTTTTGTCAATTTTTGAGTTTTTTAAAAAATTAGTGGATAGTAATTTTATTTACAATGCCAGACCATGAATTTGATAGAAAAAATTTGTAATTAAATAAGACATAATAATTATTCTGCTAATTTGCCAGCTGTAATGATATGATATAGATTCCTGTATTATGTATTAAAATTAACAAAGTAAAATATTGTTTTCCCGTATTGACAAAGTTGTTGAGCTGATAACCTTTTTTTTTTACACCTTCTCAGTATCGGAAGTATTATGAATAAGCCATGTAATAAGTAGGAACAATCACCCATGCTAGCTAGTGAATGATCATTGATTTGACAGTAATATTAAATACATTTCATTACGTAATATTTTTCTGGGGGGGGGGGGGCGCAGTGCCAGCAGTGCCAGTTGACTTATTTTTTGAAATATTTGTTGCTCGGGGGGGCGGGGGAGCATTTGACTTTCCCTGGGGGTAGTGCACCCCCCCCTCCCCTGGAGATATAGCTTAAAGAAACCATAACAAACAGAATTGTAATTATTACTACAGTAAATACTGTCTAGTATTAACAAATGCTATCAATGAAACTGCGCTGTTTCTAAATTTAGATGGCCTACTGATCCACAATTTGGTCATTTTGAAATGGAAAAAAAGTCTTAAAGCTTCTAGTTGTCCAAAGTTGAATTTATTGCACCGCATGCTTGGAAAGTGTGTCTTGTGCAAACATATTTATAGGGGAAAACGTTACAAAAGCCTGTACATTTTGGAAAAGGTATACAAATTGTACAAAGTACGGCAAACAGTGCAGGTTGGCATGTATGATGTTGTCTTTTGAACTGTCATTGTTATTTTTTAACATTCATATATGGCATACAATTCATTTTATCTCCATCACCAGACTTATCATTGTCGTGATCAAGGTCAAAACATTGCTTAGAGAAACAAGATTTGCACAGCCTGCAAGGAGAAGCAAAAAATATTACTGAAAATACATTTGAAGAAAACTGTTAAATATTAAACTTGTCAATGAGTTGCATCAAATCATTTTCAATTATTTACAAAAAGCATAATAAAAAAAAAACAACTCTAGAAATGTTTTTTTTTTTACTTAAAAAAAATACAATGACAGAATAGTAAACTTGGTAATAGTTTGATAAAAAATGAATTAATAAAGAGGAACTTAAGAAATTTCAGAGGGATACAGTTAAAAATGGAGATTGGGTTCCAATCTCAAACTATGCGTCCAAAGATAACTCTGGGACTAAAAAGATCATTGGTATATTTTGTGTGAATATTCTTCCTATGTTTGCTTTAGCCAGGGAGGCGTCGCAGGGAGATTAGGTTGGCAATCAGACACAATGTGCCAGGCATGTCAAAGGTTCATGTTGTGGACTTTGAGGGTGCATTTCACACATGTGCTTCACCACCATTGTGGTCTTCATCTGCCCTGAAACCAGAGCACCTGCTGTTGTAAACTTGCGATGCATGTTGACTGACAGGCATTCTGGCCAAATTGCTTACCGGTATTAAATATCGTATGGGTGGCGATCTTTGTTTAAATGTCACTCAACAAAAAAGGCAATAATCTTAAACCAAAAAATCATAAGAGTAAAAGAAGTTTTGATTTCTTAATCTAGTTTGAAATACAAAATATTTTTTTTTTAAATTTTAAGAAAGATAGTGATAACTTTTGACTAGTATTGGATCAGTATCCCAGTATAAGCATTACCTTGTATTGCGTCATCTCCAATGACAATGGTAAGTGTATTGGTGGCTGTCCTAGAGTTATTAGCTGATCTTCCTCTTAAGTCCCACATGATAATTGGAAGGTGGTAGTACTTGTGTACCTCACTAAATATTGTTGTCCTAGTCTTGACTGTTGCAGAGCCATTACCATTGGCAGCGGCTGTAAGTGAACCAGGGTGGGAGTAATGAGATGTGAAGAAATAAAACAATATTAAAATAAACCAAAACGGAGCTGTTTCATAAGTAATGTCAACAAATTATTTTACAGTCCTAAGATAGTACAAGAGAGACTACTCTTACAAAATTATTGAACATTCTGATTAATTTATTCAGGACCGGCGCTAGGAGGGTGCAGGGCCTCGGGCAAATTGAATTTTACGGGGCAGTTAACGTGTGATGAAGGCTGAACAAAAGGTTAACGGGTCTATATAAAGTATATAATTCCTTGATAATCCCCTTTCGTCTGCTTAACATGCGCCCAGAGGTCTTCCCGAGATTCATCTAGAAGGGATTAGTATAGAATCCAGACTGATCTTTAGACCATTTGACTATCTAACACTCCGAATATTGTGTTGACTGGATTAGGAACTATTAGTAGGCTATATATATAATAAATATACTACGGCAAAGTGCGGGATTTCGGTCGCAAGTTTTTTCATCTAAAAATGATGTTACCTTGGATTCACCTAATGCGTGGAGAGAAGTGAATTACTGTCTAGGGACCCAGCTAATCCTCCTAAAGAAATAGCCCAGGCCTTGTGAATTCATCCTGAGAATTCTCTAAAACCCCAAATAAAAAAACCAAGTAGTCTCCCCAGTAGAAGTTAACTAATTTGAATCCACATGAAGGGTTCAAGGGAAAAAGCACGGATGTCAGGTTTTGAGAGTTTTGAGAAAATTGAAAATAAAATTTAAAAATTACTCATGAATGTATAAAAATATCAAAATGTCTAAATATTTTTTTTATTGACTACGCTGCTTTTTCAGTTGGGCCCGTGTGTCTTATTATTCTATTGAATGGAATGTAGCTACACGGGAGATAACTTGCAAATATCGAAAAATTGACATCACTGGTTTTTCCTTTGAACACTTCACATAGATATTAAGAAATGAAGATTGCTAACCTGGGTTGAATGTCAAAGTAAAATAATCACACGAGGGAACATTACATCCTGCAGGCAATTGGAAGCCAAAAGAAGGTCCATAGAGTTTATCAGGATCTTTAGCAAAAATTTCTGTTACAAATGTGTCACTGCACACATTCTCTCGGATTTTGGGGCTGTAATCTTCAAGGAATGATGGAGCATTGTCATTAATGTCAGTGAGGGTGACTTTCAGTAATGCTGTACTCTGTAATGGAATGTCTCCTGTGGAAAAATAGTTAGACAATTATTAGCTGGTTACTTCTCCTATATTAAAGCACTCAAAAGATGGATTTAAAAAAAAATAATCATTCAACATTATGCTACATTGCTCTAAATGAGATTTGCCTTTTTATTAAAAAAGTTTGAAATTGATATTGTTAAGGTTGTTCTGAAGCCTATCACAATTGTTATAGCCCTCTGGGAACCATTGAATACAATATAAGTCTGTAGCTACTTTATTAACATTATTTTATGACACTGACATGCTATTTTCAGCATTATGTTACATTGAAGGTCAAAATTTGGTCACTTGCATCCTTAAATAAATAAAAAAACAATACATATGTTTCTCAGCCCCTCTCTACAAATTTGGATGGGTCTCCTTTACATGAGATTTTAGCTCATCTATGAGAAAGAAAATTCTGATCCAAACTTCCCCTGCCACGTGGTAATACAGGTTAATTCCCTGAATTTATAAATCATAAATTGATGACGATTTTATAGTCCCTACTAATAAGAAAAGCAAGCTTATTAATATTTTCATTTCAGATCCTAAAGCACAAAATACTTTTTCATCCCCAATCCCCATTTTCTTCAGATGAGAACAAATGTCCACAATCTTTTAGCTTGTATCCATGTCTTAGCCACCAACTCCCAAGTTTTCCTTTTGTGGTGCTTCTTATCAATGCATTTTCTGATAGAAAATCTGAAGATGGAGTTCCCAAGGTACCGTAGCATAAATCCTTAATCCTTTACCTTAATCAATTGTTAGATACATATGCGCTCTATTTTTACTCTCATTTAATATTTTCCTGGTGAATGACCTTAAGCTGACCCCAATTCACCTGCTTTAGTTTTGGGCGTGTCTTACTCCCTTTGATCTTCTTTACCACAAACCAATCTATCGACTGTTTCTACACTCGAATGCGGTAGAACACTGTAGAACGTTTGAGTCATTATTACGATGCGTATTCTGACCTGGAATCTTCTATTGAATAGACTATAAATACAGGCTAGTGGCACGCAAACCAGGGCAGCGACGATGGTGGTGAGATATGGTTATTTTGTGAGAGTTTGTTTACAGTAGACTTTTTAAAATTATTTTTACCTTTTTGCAATTTCTGTTTTATTAGACATTGTACTGGTGTCAGCCGCACAATATACTGTAAGTTAATAGTTTTTAATTATATTTCTTTTTGACTTTTGTACTTTATCATCAACTTAATAAAACTTATTGATTGTAATTAGCCCTGTTTCGAGTATCATATTCTTTTTTTTATTGTTTTTTATCATTTGGTATCGTCTTTTGTTATGTACTGTCTTTGAACAAGCCATACATGTAAATAGGAGATTAATTCCTCCCTACTGACAACAGAGCATTACACAATAAATTGGCATATGTCATAGCTGTGATTCAGCACCATTCAATGTTTACTTGCAATAGGTGTAGCAGATTATGCCACTCCAAATTTGAAAAAAAAATTATACGATGAAGGTGCAAAGAAGAAGCTGCACAATTTGCATTTGGAATCTACACATAAATATTATTGTGCATGTATCTTATCTAATACACTACCTTTATCTTTGGCCATTATCCCAACCTCCATGTACTCTGCCACCTCCCTGTCCAGTTGTTTTCTTGTAGTTACTCTTCCTGAGAGAGAATTTATGTAAAACTCATTTCTTGGATCAGTTGCTTGAATTATTGAATACCTGTTACAAAACAAATTGATTTCGTCCTTAGATTAATTTAAAACCATACATGCCTCTTTAATTATTATGTAATCTAATATATTTTTGTTATGGATGAATTTGAATTTAAATACTAAAATCATTAACATGTATAATAATAACAAAGAGTTATTTGAATGTTTTCAATTTGGATTATTAGTCTTATAGTTCGATAGTTTTCCCAACTATTGATTTCAAATACATACATGTCAACCTTTCAATATATAAAAACCTATACAAAAAATCTCAATTAAAAATCTACAGACATAAATTGTTAATGCAAAATATTTCAATAGAAATTTAAATATTTTTTTTTCCTTTCTTTAATCCTTAATGCCAAAATACTTTGTTGAGAATTTCTTCAAGTTCAAGTGTTAGGACTTTTACAAAAACAAACTTACTCAAACTGAGCATTCATTCCTACATCAGCATCAGTAGCAGAAAACGTTGCAATCACCTGCCCAGGCGGCTGTTCTTCTATCAATATAACTCTAATTTCATTCTCTTTAAATATAGGTGGGTTATTATCCAAAAATCTGAAGGTAAAATTAACTTTTAATGGAAAACTAACTAGTTGAAAGATATTTAAATCCTAGATTTTAAAATCATTATCAAGTATGATGGAGTAGCCCTGGAATTAAAACATTTCAAATTAATGAGATAAATGTCAGCTTGTGTAGGACATGTCTAACTGAAATTATCAGATTCTGGGCTGCAATCAAATGTTTTGTTTGTAAGTTTGTTTTGAGTTTGAGTGCAATTTTTTTTTTGGCAAGCCTAAGTCTTCAATGATAATTTCATAAAGAGTAAATAGTTACCGGCATTCATAAGCTTCCCATAGAGGGAAGCAAACCGTGTTAATAGGACAGGGTGATGTACCACAGTCATCCCTGGTACATCCTCCCTGTACATTCCTAGCCTGATAAAGTGTTATCCCTGTGGCATCTGAGTTCTGAGCTGTTGCTAGCGGCAGCCAAATATCATTGAGTCGAATGTCTCGTACACAAGCTGATTAAAATATTTCAAAATTAATAATTTTTAAATTCATCTAAAAATGATTATCACATATCCAAAATAAATATTTCTTTTTGATTTGATTTTTCAATTAAATTAAGGCAAGTCTTAGTGATAGTGTATTCTTTGACTTTTTAGTAAATGAAATTTTAAAAACTGCATCGACCATATATTGAAAACAGTCTCAAACATGTGGTGAACAAGTTATCTACCTATTCACCAACTTATTGCAATTAATTTGATCAGAAATCAACAATGTATGAATAGTAATATGCAATTATTTAAAAAACGAGACAAAGAAAACAAATTTGGGTATTAAATTTGGAATTTGGTATAGCCGTAACCATTTGTACATGGAGACGAAGTCAACTTAGTGGGGAGGGGTATAATTCTTAATACCGGTACGCAATAAGATAAAGACCGTCCAGCAATGTTCATATAGTATCAGTAGTAAACAGCATACCACTCTAATGTTGTAGCCACATCGGGTTATTGAATGTAAATACTTCATTTTAAAATTTTAAAATGTTAAATAAAGATACGGTACCGGTAAAGCCCCTTACTGTTTCTCAAATCATCAATGATTTGATTATTTTCAGGCGCAGTTGCAACTGGCTGTACACGAGCTCCAGCACTTATATAAGACAACATTCTGAAGAAAACGCTGAGATCTGGCAGTGCAAGTTGATATGTGTAATACTTTCCCTCTCCACCATCCATGCTCAAGATAAACTCAGAGCCATATCTCTCCATGCGGACAGTGTGCCACTGACCAGTATTGGCAGGTGTATTATCCAAGATAATTTTATTCTCTCCTTTTCCCATGTTATATCGAAGGGTCAGTTTTCCTGCTTCCAGCTAGAAAACAAAGAGGAAAAAAAAAAGCGCTATGCTGCATTGATAAAATGCAATGAGTGCCCCCATAAAGTAAACAAACCAAAACAGTTGTTTAAAAATATCTTATTAAATCTCAAATGTCATAAATTGATGTGTTTCTCAGTCACTTCCTATGGTGAACATACATAAAAAATGCATGAAACTAAAACAAAAAAAAAGGATAGCAAACCTGAAGAATTATTGTGTTTTGTGGAGCATTTGTTAAAATTAACAAGGTGCCAGTTGTTCTGCGGGTTCTGAACATCATTTGAAGACTCATCTTTCTGAGAGCTTGCTCAATAATAGTGCTGTTAACATTCCATTTAAGGAAACTTTGTGATCTGAGGTCATATGTTGGGGCCTCTAAAAAAATTTACAAATCACAAAACAGTTTAAAAAATTAATTAAACAACTTGTAAAAGTGCTTACATAAAACATATTTGACAGAGAATTAAATTCATTTTTGCTTTTTTAAGTGAAATTGTCCTTTGCAAAGGAAATTATTAAATTCTTTATATTAACTTCCCTTTTGTTCGTGAAATTTTTTTTGGAAAGCTAAATGACCCACTTCTTTCCATCCTATTGAGCTGAAACATGGCATGGAGAATTATTGCCAATGAAAAAACATTTTATAGAAATTTTCAGCGCCATCCCCAAACCCTAAAAAATCTGATTTTCCTGTTTTTCAAGGGGAAGATGAACATAATGCGATTTGTTTAATGGCTGTCTGTTTTGCTGTATAGCTTTTGCTATGTGCTTTGGATTTTTGACATATTTGGGTTTAAATGTATCGTTAGTCTGTTAGTTATTATACCAGTATGCACTAAATTTGATAAAAACCATTCCCATACCAAAAATCAGTTACTACATAACATAAATGATAAATCATGTACAATTTTATGATTGCAAACAAAAAGCATATAAATTATAAAGGATTTATAAAAAAATATGTGTTTAAGGGTGTTTAATTACTATTTGACTTGTTACAAAATAATCATTTGTCATCATCCAATTAATACTTAAACTGCCTTTAATCTAATAAGATTTTAAATAAGGGAATTAGATCAAAATAATGCTTATTTTTAATTTGTTTTTAATAAAAGTTTTGTCCAGTCATGATTTTTCATACATTAAAATATGTATCAAGCTTTAAATAATCAAACTACTCAGCATACCAAAACTCAATAGATCAAAAAGAAATAAAATTAATTGCATGAAAATAGATGAAGGAAAAGGGAAACAAAAATCAAACAAGAAAAAATGGATTATTTTTTTTAAAACTGCACACATAAACAAGACAGACCTTTAGCACACTTGACTCCATACCAGCCAGGATCACAGTGACAAGATACCACTTGTTCATTTGGCAGCCACAGAGAGTTACATGTAGCATGCTCACCACAGACAGGCTGGGCTGTACCTTGACCACAGATAGCTTCTTCCCTTGCGCAGCCATTGGTGCCAGATTTCCAGTTAGGAATATTTCTGTAGTTCAAGTCATAGAGCTGCACGCAAAGTCATGGAAAAGAAATAAAAATGCGAAGGATGGAAATTGCTATTTTCAAAAGAGAAGTTCTTTTTAAAAATAGTGCAGATAATACTTATAAATTTTTGTTTTAAATTTAAAGAATTATACAAGAGATGAAAAAATGTTTACAAATTAACAGAAACTGAAACTTGATAACTGTCATTTTCTTTAAAGATGCTGGTGCCTTTAACTTTAAAGTACCGGTAGACTGTGAAAAATGGTATTGTCAGTTTTATTTTGAAATCAAACCTTTGTGTTATGGAATAAATTTTTCAAACATCCACTGAAGCCAGTTGTTGCTAGTGACATGTATCGTCCTCCAAGCTGTAGGAATGACTGAACATTTAGAAGCATATCAGGCCCAGGAACCATGCCGGTAGCTGTACATGGTGACCAGTCTGCAACATAGCCAACACTTGCATTTGCAGCAGCTGTCTCACAATGGTCTACGGTCAAAGTCACTTGCTGAATATTTGAAACATTGACAACATCAGAAACTTTTTTACTCATTAAAAAGATGCTGTTTGAACATGCAAGTACACTGCCCAAATTTAATCTTTTCTGAAATATTAATTTTCCTGCAAAAATCAATTTTTAAAGATGTAATATTTAAGTTTATATATTTATTTAAATAAGTAATAAAACAATGTATAAAGCCAGGAAAAAAATTAATGCTGACATGATTTATCTGAACAATTTAAGATAATTCTTTTTTTAAATTTATTTTTAAATTACCCTTACAATACCCAAATTAAAATAACCTGCTTGTCCCTGTCAATATGGATGGTATGCCACTTGCCATCACTCAGTTTTGACATTCTTGTCTGACCATTTGTATGTTTGCCAGTAAGGGCAACAGTAACCTGTGTAAATATAATAAAAAAATTGCAACAAATACATGTCGACTTATTGAAGCCATAACTAAATTTAGATATTTTACCTAAAAATAAAAAATAAATACTCATTAAAATTTATTTATTGACCATTTTTAGTGTTTCAAAACTGAAATGGTTCATTAAAAACCCAAAACATTTCCCTGTGGCAAAAAAAAAAGCGCACAGGACCATGTAATAAGCATTCAAACATTTTTTTTTTGAAAATACTAAAACCTTTAGTCCAAAGAGGATTACTATTTTTAAAATATCATCTAATTAGAATAAGATTTTATTTTTAAATCTCAGCTTATTAGACTTACATTTAAGTTTTATTGGTGACTAGCTTGTTTTGACATATGATAAGTAATACAGATGACAAGACAAGATAAATATGAGCAATATATCTCCGTGCAAACCTCATAAGATCCAAGGTTTAATATCAAAATGGGGTAACCACCTTTCAGTTCAAGACTAATGAAATCTTTGGGAGTCTGATGGCATAGAAGAAAAATTTTTGTTAGGATTTATAAAAAGTATGGCAATACCCAAATTAAACTCACAAAACAAAAATTTCTGTATTTAAATAGCACTCTTTTCAGCAATAAAGTATTTTTTAGACAATTTTCAGAAATGAAAATAATATTATATTTACATGAAAGTTTATTGCTAGATAAAGAATATTAACAGTTAAAATACAAAATACGAAGGGTTAGAATAGAGATTATTAAGGGTAAGACTAGATAATATGAGATAATATGAAGGATTAGAATACACAATATGAAGAGCTAGACTGTGCATTGAATTATTTGTAAACACTGCTGATAAAAGCAACTTAAGTCCAGTCATTAAGATTTCTACCTTGTAAGAAGACTGAGAAGTAAGACACCTAAGAAATATGAAATGCTGTAATCATTATGAACACTGACAATGCACTACCTCCTGCTGAGTTGCACCAACTATAGCACCACTGTACATGATAAGACCATCATCCTGTGTCGTTATCAGATCAATGCTGGTCCTTCCTTCAGCACACACGGACAAACTGTCATAAAAGGCTATACTTGACCCATCAAACTGATGCCGACGCTGCTGACATCTGGGACCATCAAACCCAGGAGAGCACTGGCAGCTGAATTTTTTTTTATATGGTGAATAGAATCACAAGTTTGTCATTTTAAAATTATAAATGTAGCCTCCAAAACTGTGACCCTAATAATACGTTATTAATGCTATTAATCAATGTTATTATCAAAACTGAGATGAAGTTTAATGACTAATAATAATAATGACTAATAATAAACTATGAGAAATGGGTAACTTTTAACAATGAAAGTCTGCAATTTAATAGTTGGTAAATTTATATTAGTCATGTCTAATGGCTTAGAATATTTGATTACTAGTGAAATAGTTACCTCAGTTTACCCCAGTCATCTTTAACACAAGTCCCTCCATTATAACAATAGTCTCCCCTGCATTCAACAGGATAAGGAAACATTGAGTCTACACAGCCTGATTCAGCCGTCATGGAAGTGTCCATTACCAGATAGCTGGTTCCATTAGCATTGATAAGTCTAGGTTTTCCCGTAAAATTAAAATATGTATAGCATCCATCATCATAGCTCTCATCCGCGCATAGATTTATAGGAACCTGTGCCACTTTTACCCCAACATCTCGTTCAAACTGTTGACAGCAGTGAGAAATCTTGATTGTTATATAATAAATTGCAGTATGTAAGAGTCATGTTGTCTGCCACTTCTCAGCACTTTGAATAAAGCAGAAAAAAATAACTAATTTTTCGCTCTATATACAGGTAGTTTAAAAAAAAATAAGTAACGTAAATCAAATCAAATAAAAAATCATTTGTAAAACCGAATTAAAAATAAAACAAACATATATTTTGAAAAAAAAATTCTGAATAATAAAATGAGGAAAAAAAAAATGAAAAAGAGATCATGTGGGGAGATAAAATTTATGATAAAGCTATGAATTGATATGTTAGTGTTTAATGTAAACAGTTAGTATATATTAAGTCCAAATATCATTTGAGATAAACAACTTAATTAGTATGAAATTGTTGACTGACCCTGGTCAGGTTTAGAAGAACAGCACTCTCCAGCTGAGATGGATTAAGGTAAGGGCTTCTTGCAGAGTACCTAACATCCAGGTCACCTTCCACATCAGTGAGGGAAACAATCTCCACATTATCTTTGCTCTGATATCCTAGAAGATTTGCCACTTGCTGCTTGAACTTGTCATATGGACTACTGGCTGTAGTCCCAAACCCAGACCGCTTGACAAACTCTTCTGCCGTTATGCCTAATGAAAAGTGACATTCAAAATATTTCCAGTTAAATTCTAGAAACAGATTTCTGAAAGATTAACATGAAATAAAAGAGACAATACAACTTAAATTAAATGTCATTCGATCCGGTAAAAGATACTAAATATTTCCCAATGATCTTTTATTAAATTTACCTGAAAGTCGTATAGATCCGGATTTTCGTACAGCTTCATCACTCAATTCCATGACAGTCACTGACACAGTGCATGTTACACGGGAGTTGAACTTCTTGTCAAATACATCCACCTTAAATGTAGATATGGAGAATTTCAATAAATCAATGGCACTAACTAACACACATATTATTCTAGTGAAGGTCTGAGACTAATCTCTTAAGACCTCGGCTAGTACATTGGCTACCAGCTCTATCTGCTGAGCTGAGCAATACAACATTTTCCTCACATAGGGCTCTCCAACCATCCTGGCCTCCCCGGGGACATCTAGTGAGGGAATTAGGTCTACAGATGCGGTTAAATGTCCACCTTGGTGGTGCCCGAAAGAGTTTTTCCTCTACGTGGAGCGACTGACCAGTAAGGTAGAGCAGACTACCCGAAGCAAAAAAACTCACGTCACTACGTCCGTCTCCCAAGGCGAAGGAGAGGAGCTACAAGGGTAACTCCACCCCGGGGGAAAGATACGAAAATAGAGCCTAGACATTATTCATTAAGATATGGCTGGTTGAAAATCTAGCAATTAAAAAACAACAAAAGCAATGAAACTGAAAGGATAACAAAATTACAAAAATTTGCTTATCTTTATTAAGAAAGCTGCTCTTACACAAATTCATTGAGACAATACTGTCACACAATTTGTATTTGATTGCCTTATTTCATTAAATTCTTAAATACGTTAATAGGTCGTAATCACACTGTTTTTCCATTAGCATTGTAAACTTTAATCCAGGAACGTATCTATCAGGCTGTACATTGAATCAAAAACCTGTATAACGCAGCTCGCTAAAAGGAGATATAATGCACAACCACTACCAATCGCGACACAGTTCTTTCAACGAATGCTAAATCAAAATGCATCTACGTTAAAGAATCCCAGACACTACTCATAATTACCATAAATATATGACACAAATTAAATAGTGGGAAAAGCGTTTATTAACTAAACTAATTCTATAGCACACAGCTTGCAATAAAACATAATATTAAGTGTGCAACAATTGCTAGAAAATATTCACTCTCGGCATACTCCATTAACAACTTCAAATAATAAAATGCAAGAAAATAATAAAGATCATTACCAGGTACTTAAAAATTACCTCCAAATAAAGTAAATGGAATTAACAATTCTTAACTAAATACCTTAAACTTGTAGGGAGGGTCAGCGCCATTCACGGGTACACCTCTCTTCATTGTAACCATTCCTGTGTCTGAGGCAACACTGAAAATGACATATAACTCTGATTAAAAATTACTGTTCACTACATTAGCTATAAAAAAATGACAGCATCAGGGTCACATATTAAAAAAACGGACAAGCTTGTTTTAGTAGAGACTTAATTGGTAAAAGTATGAATATGGATCACTAAAATTGATAAACTGAAACAAATGCTTAATAATTGTACAGTGTACTGACTTGAAATACTTTTGCATTGTAGTTGGTTGAAGGTTGGAGAACGTCTTATCAGGCAGATCCCAGTCGTCTGGGTCATCTGTGTAGACACGGCCGATTTCAACATCGCTAGAATTCCCTGTCAAAGTTTCGATGCAATGCTTTTTAAATAATAATTTAAACATAAACCAGAGTAAGGCAAACTATAAATAATCACTGAAATTGGTCATTATGATACTTAGACTTGCCCTAGAGGTTAAGAGAATAGCCCACTATAACCCTCATCACTTCAAACATAAGAGAGTAAGCTTCTTGCTTGTTAGAGCAACAGCTTCCTACTTTCCCCAAGGAAACTACCAAGTCTGGATATTTGACTGAAATTTATATCCAACTGACAACAACTTAGTCCCAAAGGTTAATGTATCCATCTGGCTGGTTTATCCATTCACAGCACATTTTGAGGATACTGTTTATTAACAGCCGTTGTTGCTCTCTACATTCACAGAATAACCTCACAGTTCCCTCCACAAACTTTAAAAAGTGGTCTACTCTGACTCATGTCCTTATACTCTGACTAGTCTGTTGACGTATACAATTTAATAAACCAGGCAGGTAATATTGACTCAGAGCCTTAAGCCTTAAGTCTCATTTATGAAGCTGTATATCATGATTGTTTTGTTTAGTTTGTCAAACTGACTGAGATAAGACAATATGGCAATAATGTAAAGATTTTTTTTACAGACAATGTTAAATAAATCACCTTCATAGTTGTATACAAAAATGTCTTGATTGCCAGGCTTCATGTTGTTGTCATTGTCATCTCCAATGACAACTGCAAGTGTGTTGGTGGCTGTCATGGAGTTATTAGCTGATAGTCCTCTCAAATCCCACATTATTATAGGAAGGTGGTAGTATTTGCGTACCTCACGGTCAAAGGTTGTGCTAGTAAAGATTTTTGCTGAGCCGTTACCAGCTGTGAGAGAAGGACTCATTTAAATTATGTTAGTTATTATGTTATGTACTGATATATCGGTTTGAAAATTTAATATATTTTAAGATTTGGCTCGTTATATAAAAAAAAAATCAAGCATAAAAAATAAATATTATAATTAAATAAAATAGACTTTATAGCTCAGATTACTATTTATATATCTATAAATCTGTCAAAATTTATGGAAAGAAATATTTTTCTGACAGTGTACTACATATTCTAATAATAATAACGTCTCTTAAGTTTCGTGCCTAGGAAATCTAGCTAATCTCTTCTGTCTGAAAGAGGTGCAGGCTTATTTATAGGGAAGGTGTTAGAACCTTTCAAAAAAGAAATTCTAGAAATTGCACCACCCGATAGCATTCTATAGAACAAATTAGGAAGTAAACAACCTTTTCCCAATGAAGGGAGTGGAGGGTATTTGTGTAGCGCCACACATTTAATCCCAAACGTCAATATCAAAACAAAAAGCGGGAGGTTGTGTAAGGTAGAATGCTACAGCTAAAGGTGAAAAAAAAACTAAATCAACACAGGCTATAACAATAAATAATTATAACTAGTTCTGTTGGCAAATGAATTTATGGAAACAATGTGAAAATGTATACATGTTAAAATGTTAGTATATTTTATGATATACACAAAAGCATTTATTGTCTAGGTAATATTTAAATAAAATAAAATAGACTTTATAGCTCAGATTGCTATTTATATATCTATAAACCTGTCAAAATTTATGTAAAGAAATATTTTTCTGACAGTGTACTACATATTCTAATAATATATATTTGTATAAAATTGAGAACTAAATTCCATAGGTAATATTATTGAAGGGAAATAAATACTTCATTGCACAAAAATATAATATCTTGCCCCTATGCCAACTGTCCTAGTCAAGTGATGCTTAAAACATAAGTATAAGAAGCACCTAAATTTTCACTTGGACTATGATAGTAGAAATATAAGACTGCAGGAAAGCCAGATTAATAGAACTTTGCTTCGTTTCTTGTTTATTAGTATAATCTGTGTTAAATGTTAAGGATGCTAACCTTGGTTCAACTCCAATCTAAAAGGAGCACATTCTCCACATCCTGTCTGCAATTGGAAACCAAAAGGAGGTCCATAGAGTTTATCAGGATCTTTTGCAAAAATCTCTGCAACCATGAGGTTATTGTTCACAACATTTTCTTGGACTTTGGGGCGGTAATCTTCAAGGAATGACGGAGCATTGTCATTAATGTCAGTGAGGGTGATCTTCAGCAAGGCTGTACTGTTCAACGGAATCTCTCCTGTGGTTTTAAATATTATTGACAAAATTATTGGCTGGCTGCATCACTAACATTATTTCAGCAAAAACAGGAGTGGAATTTTAAAACTTAAAATTAGAATTTTTCCAAATGGAAGGAGTGTTTTATTTTGAAAGTTTGAGATTTTTTAAATGTGCCTCTATTGGCCAACTATATTGGTCATTTGTACAACACTTGATAGAAAGATTAATAAGTATTAACTGAGTGGTTAAATTTATTGAATTATATACCAATATATCCAACTTCAGAAGAGCAAAGTTATAATGACAAACGAACATTAAAAATATGGACTATATATCTTTTCAGTTAGAAGTATACATTTTATAGCACAAATATTAAGCGTAATTCTGGATTGAAATGTGTATTACAGCTTCTTCTATATTATGTCTTAAATTCTAACATATAGGAGGCTTTTATTTTTGAATGCAAAGTAATTTCATACACAACATACACTACCTTTATCTTTGGCCATTATGACAACCTCCATGTACTCTGCCACCTCCCTGTCCAGTTGCTTCCTTGTAGTTACTTTTCCTGTGTGAGGATCAATGTAGAACTCATATCTTGGATCAGATGCTCGATTTATTGAATATCTTTGAAAAAAAAAGTGATGAAAAGAAAAATTACCGAATCCATCTCTGTCTTTTTTCCCATTCTTCAAACAGGAAAGTTGAATAAAATGTGTGAACACAGAATAAAACAACAGCTATTTAAGGTGTTCACTGTGGATGCAAAATAGTATCAACATTTCCTTTCTATCCTCTACGCAAAACATAATTCATTGTTGGGCTGAAAAAAACTATCGCACCTGACAGTGTTTATAATTCACAAAAACTTATAATTCTATAGCTTCACAACATCAAGTATTATTTGTTTACATCAAGTTCGTATTATTATACCAAATTTTTAAAAATAGATTTCAGCTCACAAATTTTGTAACCGCAAATATTTTTTTGACACATCAATATTGTTTTCAAATTTCCATAAAGGGCTTGTGAAAAAAAAACTTACTCAAACTGAGCATTCATTCCTTCATCAGCATCAATAGCAGCAAACGTTGCAATCACCTGCCCAGGCGGCTGTTCTTCTATCAATGTAACACTAATTTCATTCTCTTTAAATATGGGTGGGTTATCATTGTAATCTGTGATAAACACTTGAATTTGGGTTGAGTTCTCATGACCAGGCTGACCGTCATCCACATGGAGGATGAATGTTAAATTATGTGGGTCTCTCTCATAGTCCACTGTCTAAATTTGGAAATAAGTTTTTATAAGAAGCTAGGTGATTACCAATGTGGATTCAGACGAAACAGATCAATGACGGTTAAGATTTTCCGCATCAGATGTCTATTAGAGAAATGTTACGAATATAATATCTCAGTACATTAACTATATGTGAACTAAACAATGGCCATGACAGCACCAACAGAAAATATCTGCATAAGACTCTGCAGGTGTTTGGCATACCCAACAAATGGACAAGACTGATAAATATACATTTAATATTAACAACTCAAAAAGCAAATCAAGGTTCAGGGAATATTCAAGGGCATTTCAGATTTGACTGTCTTGTATGCTATTTAAACTAACATTGGAGAGAGTTATGAGATATTTACACTTGAGGAACAATAACAAGATACTTTTTGAGGGAAACCCACAACCAATAGGCAATTTACAACCAACCCCTTCACTATCTTCCCTATCCTGCTGACATATCACTGTTAGGAAAAAGTAGTAAAGACATGTCAATAGCTTTTTTTGAATTAGTAGATGCATCACAACAATCAGGACTGAAAGTTAAGAAACAAAAACCAAACTACATGACTATGTTAAGAGAAGAACAAACAGATGAAGCCATTAAAATTAGAAACTACATTTTTGAAAATGTAAATAAATTCAAATACCTAGGATCTTAAATCAAAGAAACAAATTAATAACAGAAATAAATGAAAGAGTATCAGCCAGAAAAAGCGCACACTTCAGTAGTCAGAAAATACTCAAAAGTAAAAACATCACAAGAAAAACAAAGAAAACTATTTATAAAACTGGAATCAGCCTAGTTGTAACATATGCAAGTGAAACTTAGACCCTAACAAAAATGGCAGAAAACTTATTAAACACATGGGAGAGAAAATTTATAAGGAAAATATATGGACAAAGAAAGGATGAATATGAAGAGAGAATATGAAACAATCAGAAATTGTATAGTCTAAATCAGGATGCCACACTAGTAGCAGAAATAAACAAGGGCAGGTTACCCCAGGCACGACACTTAGAAAGAAATCCCAATATGTCAGAGGAGTAAAGAGGGTGCACAACCAAATTCCAGACAAAAATGGCTCAAGGTAGACCTTGGCTTATATGGATGGATGATGTGGAAAAAGATCTACAGCCGCTGGGAATCCAATTTTCCAAAAGAAAAGCATCATATAAGTCTGAGTGGAAAGATGTGATAAGGCTGGCCAAAGCCTGACAAACACTTTAGTGCCACAGCGATGGAATTTTATAAGAATAAAAATAAAACTATAATTAAACCCTTGAGTTAACATAAATGTAATTAAAGAGAATTTAATTATTTCAGTACAAAAATTACATACTAAACTAACAACTTGCAACACATTTAAAACAATTTATCTCTCAATTCAAATTTACATTAAAAGAAATAAATTTTTAATTTCTATATAAATCTTTAAATATTAAAAATATATACCGTTGCCACTCGAATGTCAGCTTGTTGATTAAGTGCTACAACTAAAAAGTTAGTAGACTGAGGTCCTGTGAGTTGAAAGAGGAGATCTCGATTTCTTGGATCATCATCAAAATCTATGGCTGACACTAAGAGAATTGATCCAAACTTGGTGGCTTCGGACATTGTCACTCTGTCAAATTAAACATTCATTATAGGAACATTTAAATGCTTGGGCGCAGGCCTAAAGAATATTCATAATATAACTAATCAACAAATAATTGTTTATTATTTTTTACCAAAGAACTTATGAGTTCACGAGTCGCTTGAAAGGCAGCAGTGAAACCTCTCCACATTTTTCTCATTTTTGGATTGTTTCTCTTAAATGTTATTCCTGGATAGTTGGATATTTTTGTATCTGAAAGTCTCCTGGACGTATGAATATATTTTATTTCGAAAATAACTAAGATTTGGTGGACTTATTCTGTTTTTTTTTCTATTCTGTTTTTCTTTTTGGATCTATCTGTAACTGTGTTTTCCGTGTTTAGTAGCTGAAATTCTCAATCATAGCATACCACCGTGTTGAAGCTCTGAGGTAACAATCTGTCATTTCTCGATAGGACTATATGCGACGCTGTGTAGCAATTGTCAGGCCACAATAGTGTCTGTCTGTTTCAAGTTGTTTTGACAGTCTGAGAAATTAACTTGAAAAAAATGCCACCCCTTCACTACTCATTTACTTCACTGCGTCAGCTGTGTACCCCTGATAGCTGTCTCCTTAGTAGTGATGTTCTTACACGATGTCGAACACTGTGTTAATAAAAAAGAAAACAGCAAGAGGTTTTCGTGGGGGTAGAAAAAATATGATATTTTGGCACTCAGCTCCCACAAAGTTAGTGCATCAAAAGACTGGCAATGTAACCATTGGGCTCATTAATGGCAGTCATCTGTAAAGAAAGCATTGATCATCAATGACCTTATCACTGAGAAGTCGCTTGACATTGTTATTATCAGGGAGACATGGCTTCATGAAGGTGGCGATGAGCCAGCAATTAAAGACATGACCCCTGCCAGCTATGTCTTTTTCCACCGTCTTCTGATCAAAGTGGTGGAGGGTTGGCTGTGATCCATCGATCCTCCATTATTGTGAGACTGTGTAATCAGCTTACGCTCGCTTCTTTTGAGAGTTTAAGCTTTGTCATTTCTCAGGGCAAACAAACGGTACGAACTGTCGCTCTGTATAGACCTCTGCCTTCTGCTGCTAATAAGCTCAAAGACACCACGTTTCATGAAGACTTGAGAAAACTTGTAACAACCATTAGCAACAAAAATCTACTCATCTTAGGTGACTTTAACTTTCCCTGGGTTGATCCAAATTGCAGTAATATTCGTCTTCTTACGCAGTTGTTTGACTTGGCTGATTTAGTTCAGCATGTTTCAAAACCAACGCATAGGGATGGTCATATCTTGGACTGGGTTCTGTCAAGATCCGACAAAGTGGTTTTAATTCAGTCTGTGAATATGGAGAATATTTTCTTGTCTGATCACTTCCTTGTGTGGTTTACAACACATATGGCTAGATATGTTGCTCAGAGGGAGAGAATTCAATTGATGAATTTAAAGAAGATAGATATTAATTCTTTTCGGAATTGTCTTTCTGGGACTGAGTTAGTGAAGTCACCACCTAAAGATATTGAACAACTAGTCATTCTCTACAATTGGACTCTCATTTCTTTGTTGGACACATATGCCCCAGTGTCAAATAAGTTTGTTAGTAACAGATCTAACTCCCCTTGGTTCACTCCCACAGTTCGGAAAGCCAAACTTATTAGGCGTTTAGCTGAGAAGCATTGGAGAAGAAGTGGTCGTAAAGTGGACAAACTATCGTTTCTAAAGCACGTAAATGTATGCGCAAGAAATCAGACACCCTAAGTCTGAACATGTTCAATCTCTCCTTAAGGCAGCAGGTACTGACTCTCGTAAGATGTTCTCTGTGGTGAATAACCGTCTCGGGAAGAAATCAACACCCCTTGTTTTGCCTGACATGAGAAGCGAGCAAGCTGCAGATAAACTGATACATTTATTTAATGAAAAAATTGAAACAATCAAAAAGAGCTTTGAGGAACGTTGTGATTTGTCTGCAATGGAGAATGTCTTTGGAGGAAACCCTCTAGTGGAATTTTCCCCAGTTTCCCATGACCAGTTAAGACATATAATAATGGTATCTAAACCTAAATCTTCTATTGTTGACCCCATCGCTGCCAAGATTCTTTTGGACTGTCTAGAAATCTTGCTTCCTGTATTGTAAAACATTGTGAATAGTAGCCTTCAGTCTGCCACAGTCCAACGTCTCTTCAAGGTGGCGGTCGTTAAGTCTCTGCTTAAAAAATGTTGCCTAAACCCAAATGACTGCGAGAATTTTCGCCCAGTCTCCAACCTGCTCTTTGTATCTAATATTCTTGAGAGAGTTGTGTCACAACAGCTTGTGCAGCATCTTAGCAATAATGACTTGCTTGATAAGTTTCAATCTGCAAATCGACCTGGACACAGCTGTTGTGAGACAGCACTACTCCGTGTCATGAATGATGTTCTTTGTAGTGCTGACCACGCGATCTGACAATATTGGTCATGTTGACCTCAGTGCTGCTTTTGATGTGATTGACCATGAGCTTCTAGTGTTAAGACATCTGAATGAGGCAGGCATCTCTAGAACTGCACTTCGCTGTTTTTTCTTCTTATCTGACTGACAGGACTCAACGTATTGCTGTGAATCAAACATCTTCCATGGACATTTTTGTTATCTGTGGCGTTCCTTAGGGCTCAGTTTTAGGCCCTATTCTGTTCTCCATGTACACTAGCCAGCTCGGCAGAGATATTGAAAGTCGTGGAATTTCCCGCAATTGTTTGCAGATGACACAGAACTGTAAAAGTGTTGCCACCATGATCCTTTGGAATGTGATTGCTGCTGTTTAGGCTTTCGAGGGCTGCTGTCTTGTTGTGAAAGAATGGATGTCATCAAACAGACTAAAATTAAATGACAATAAGACATAATAATATCTTTTAAAACAATAGCTCCAAAATTATGGAACAGCTTGCCCCAATCTTTGAGAGCAGTTGAAAATGATACAAAATCATTTAAGAAACATTTAAAGACTTTTTATTTAAATAGTTTTAAGAACATCAGAGCGCTGTGAGCATGCAAAAGTAGCCTGGGTATAGGAGCTATTTAAATATGAAATTCAATTCAACTTAAATTATTTGTTTCATTTGTCAAAAAAGCTTGAAGTCTTGTTTCTTTCATAAAACATTGCTAAATTAAAAATTGAATTTTTATTAAATAAAAAAAAAATTAGTTTCAAGATAAATAAAATAACTATAAATTACTATAGTATACATACTGTTAAGTATTTATCTTTCTTACTAGCTATTCTTTAGATAATTATCTTGAAAGACTAGTTCTTTAAAAAAATACTCTTAATCTTTTTAAATCTTGAAAACATTCAAAAGCTGAAATATATTGATTTTACCTTTTTAGAGATCAAATTAATTATTAAACATAAAAGTGCATATTAACTCTTAATCCCACAAGTTTATTTTACCATAGCACTAGCTGATTTTTTCCGGTTAAAAAATATATATTTGTGATCAAATATTGGAGAAAATCGTAACTGTTCAAAATATCAAATTTTAACACTAATGTAATTGTTGCCAATTTGTTTGATAATCCAAAATCCCCATTTACTCACGTATAAAGAGATTTGTCAAAATATGGAGAATTATCATTGACATCCAGAATGCTGATAGTGACAGTTGCTGTACTTTGCATTGGAGGTATGCCACCATCAAAAGCTTCTATTGTCAAATACATAGTATGCACTGTTTCTCTGTCAAATGCTCCTGGATCTCCTCTGGTAGTAATGACACCAATGTTACTGACACTAAATAAAGCTGATCTGTCCGGTGTTGGCTGGGTGGAAAATATTCTGTAGTTGACAGTACCATTGTCCCCATAATCAATGTCTCTTGCTAGTACAGTAAGAACAGGGGCTATTTTGAGAAAATGGACACAAATATATTTTTAATTTGTGCAATGTTCCCTCTTTTAATTGTATTACAATGGACTCAATGGTAGTGAATTGCTATTTAATTTCATGGAATCTTAAATCAAGATTATTTTCGGGATACTTTTTATTTATAAAATTACTCTCTGAGAGCAGAGAAAGATACATTTGTTAAATATAAAATGGATGTCATCATAGTTCTACTTTATAACAATGCAAACTATTAAGTAGGTTTTCTAGCACATACATAAAAAATACATTATGCAGCAGTTTTCAAAAAGTTACTTGAAAATGCTGCTGTCACTGATTATAGAAATTTAGCTACAGCAGCCCTTTGACCTACTTTGTACCAAGAGTTTAAAAAAATAAAGTCAGAGAAACGATTGTTATCAGAAATTTACTGTAATACAGTGTAATATTAAACATTTTCTTCTTGATGTATAAAGTGTAATTAAATTGTACCATGATAACCATTATAGATGGAGCATATGTTGCTGATAATATTAACTTACTTCCTACTGAAGGATTCTCCAAAACATCACTCTTTAGATAATTATCTTGAAAGACTGGTGCATTGTCATTTATATCCATTGGACTGACAACAACAGTGGCATATCCAAAGCGGGGATTAGCACGTTCATCTTCAGCTCGTGCTGTAAATGTGTAATTTGGATTGGGCCGATCTCTGTCCAATTTACCAATCAGATAAATCTCTCCGGTTGATATATTAATAGAAAATGTATTTTCAGCTCCAATCAGAAAGTAGCGTATGTCTGTCTGTGTACGGTTAACATCTTTATCAGTGGCAGACACCTATAGACATTAAAATTGACAACTTGGTTAAACCTGTTAAAAATAAATATATTAAATAACATCTATACATGATATTCTTGAAATCCTAGATAATAATGACAGAATCAGGAAGATACAAAAAATTATAAAACAATATAGTTGTTATTTAAAGGTTCAAAACTGTTGAGGCTAATTGATCAACCTTTTTTATATTATTATTTATTATGGCTTCCTTCCGTCTTTGTGAGATGATGGAGTAGCTATATTATGGTTCTACACTTTGACGAGTGGCTCACTAGGCCAATCCTAGAATGGCGATCACGGCCGCATCTCTCGCAGGAGAATGTTGAATCCCGGTAAATTCTTGATTTTCGAATTGTTCTTTTTGATTCGAGGGCCTCGTTTCGAGTAAATTCTGCCTATTTCACTCCTTCAAACACTGCTGTACGCCAGTTGGAGCGATGTTCGGCAATGAACTCCCATTCGTTTGTTTCAATATTGGCTTCCCTAATGCTTCATTTGCAAACGTCAATAAATCTCAGGCGCGGTCGTCCAATGTGTCTTGTCCCCTCTGCCAACTCTCCATACAGAGGAATCTTTGGGATACGTCCTTCCTCCATTCTCCGTACATGACCTAACCAGCGAAGGCTGATAATAACGGAGAATATGCTAAACATGTGTGCATGTTCCAAAACCTCCACGTTAGGCACCCTATCCTGCCAACGAATGCGCAAAATGCGACACAGAATCTTTGATGGACGCTGTTGAGTTTACGCTCCTGAATGGTATATCTGGTCCACACTTCGCTACCATATAAGAGCGTGCTAAGCACCCATGCCTGATAGACACTTATTTTTGTTTGATCAGTTAGATTGAGATTATTCCACACCCGCTTATTCAGTTTAGCCATAGTTGCTGCTGCTTTTGCAATCCTGATATTTATCTCTTCATCAACGGAGAGAGAACTAGAAATATTGGATCCCAGGTATATGAAATGATCAACAACCGAAATATTATGACCCTCAATAGATATGATTGGAGGGGACGGTGCTTCTTGCATCATTATATGAGTTTTCTGTAGACTAATAATTAATAAGATTGAAATAAAGTTACCTGAATAAGAAACATCTTGTTAGTTTGTGTCACCGTAGCATCTTCTTCTACAGCTTTTCCCACCACTGAATATAATAAGTGGGAAAATTCTGGTGAATTATCATTAATATCCCTTATTTTGATTTCCACGGGGGTAGAGCAACTATGAAGCTGGTTGGAATCTGTTGCAATCAGTTGCATTCTGTAGGTCTTTCAAAAAAAGATTTTATGGATAAAATCTATTTAAGAATTTTACAATATAAATGGGATCAATTTTATATATTATATTATATATAATATATTATATATGGGAATATTATATTCAAAAAACACATTAATTAAGCAGTGGCTTTTGTAGTACAAAGTTTTGCTTCTGTTACCTTGGGTTCAGCAGGATTCTCATAGTCCAGCCTTCGTGCAACACGGATCTGCCCAGTGCCAGTCAGAATTGAGAATGCATTATTTATGTTTCCAATTTCAAAACGATAATTCAAGTTACCTTGATCAACTGAAAATATGCAGTTATTTATAAAAGTAAATAAAAATGGAAGGTTTCACAAATTGCCTTGAAATTACTTTAACCTGGAAGAGTTTTTAAATCCCCATATTTAATTTTTGGTTATACATGGTGTTTTTTTTCACATTAAAAAAAAGTAAATTGCCAAATTTGTCATAATGAAGTATTAATTTATTATTAAATCATAATATTAAAATAAGAATGTAAAAAGTTGTATTTTAGCTTTTGTGATCCTGTTTCATTATATTAATGAAAACGTTACCTCCCCCTTGATTCATTAAAAAAAATACATTTGTAAAGTTATATTCTAACTATTAAAATTATTACTAACATTTTATAACTTGCATGATTATTTAAAAATTCAGAGGCAGATAAACTTTGGCAATTAATCATGTAATCAACATGGAGACCCATTGGTCTGGATATACACAACAAAAATGCTATCATGAGTCATTTGAAACAGAGATCAAAAGTGTCCCCGCTATTCATTTAATGCAGGGGTTCTTAAACTTTTTCTTTCAGCCATCATAATCTTGGTGCCACAAATCCAACTACATCCCAAGCACACCCTCCCCCTTTTCGTTTTAACCCTGCTGTGAATGCTATTCATGATAGTTTGATAAATGTAATAGAGTATCATATGATTGAACTTTTAATTAAAGTAAAATTTTTTACTTCAATTCAGGAAATAACTATTGAATTTTATCGAGTGGTATCAAGCTAGTGTACATATTAAGCAAGATTTATAGATGTTACACTTAAAAAAGTTTATAACATTAAGATGATATCAACCACTTTGAAAACCACTAAGTTTGTAAAAGAATGGAGTTGAGCACTAGAAACATCAACACAAATTATTTTAAGTTTTGCTTTTAAAAATTTCAATGGCTAGACCAATGTTTCTCAAATGATGGGCCGCGGACTGGTGCCCGTCCGTGATCCTTGCATTGCCGGACCGCACACAATCAATATTTATGGTCAAATACAATGAACATGTTATTAATAAATCTTGCATTGGCCCTGGTGAAATTTCAAAACATGTCCACCGGATGGCCAAACTTTAAAGTTTGGGAAACACTGGCCTAGATTGCATTTTTACTTAAAATTTTGCAGAGACATTCTGATCTGAAGTGAAGATTCTTTAATGTCTTCTTTTGTGTAGAATGTTATAATAACTACATTTTCTTATGGCTATACACATATTTATAAAAATAATAATAAAGTTTATTTGAAAAAAAAAACACTTCATCCCCAAAAGCTCAAAGCGCGGTACAAAGTCAACCTTATTAAATAGAGAAAAAAAATATCTAAAATTTACCACATTTAAAAACAGACGCATCAATATAAAACTACATAGGAGCATACCAAGTCAAAGTCTTTCATCACATTTCAACCATAAGCAACACAAGCAATATACATTAACTGGAAACAGATGGTAGATAGCATAACCCCAGAAGGTGTTTGCGAAATAGATGTGTTTTTAAATCGGTTTTAAAGTGTCTGGCTGTTTCTGAGAGCGACTGGAAGGGCGTTCCAATTTGTTGGGCCAGCAAATGCAAAAGTGCGCTTTCCGTAAGTCTCAAGGCGAACACGCGGTATCGATATTTTGCCACTATCGGATGAGCGGCGCTGTCTAGTGGGTACATAAGGCGTCATGAGTGCTTTGAGATAGACGGCGCCAGGTCATGTAAGCAGCGGTAGCACAAAGTTGCAATTTTGTACTCTATGCGAGCGCGGACCGGCAGCCAGTGCAGCTTTCTCAGAAGTGTTTTAGCATGATCGATTTGCGTTTGCGAAGAACAATGCGAACCGCACTATTCTGTTTGAATTTTATCCAGGAACATAGCTGGGAGACCCACCATGAGAGCATTGCAGTAGTCCATGCGCGATTACACGAATGCAGACATCAGCCTCTTTGATGCTTCGATAAGTTACACTTATTTACCGTTTAAAAGCTACATAAATGTTGTTTTAATTTTAAAATAAGCATACTATAGAATAAAATGTTTGACATAATGAAGGTCTAAAAAATGCATTAAAAACCTTATAGAGTAAGTCTGTGTACAAATGTAAAACTTACTTGAGTCTGGGTCATTAGCTGTGACACTTGCTATAACTAAACCAACGGGTGTTTCTTCATCAATTTCAAATATGTATGATTGACTGTCAAAGGACGGTATATTATCGTTAACATCTGTTACACGAACATCAAGTCTTCTTGTTACTGAAATCACAAAATAAAACAAGAAAATCAATTAAATCTTTAGCACCTAAATGTAATCTAAATAGTAGAATATCTTTTGGATATAAAGAACTACTAAAAAATACATTGTAAAACTTCAATCTTATTTTGGTGTTTGTCGGCAAGAGTATAAATTGTGAAATCTGTAGTAAAAATCAAACAAAACTTGGTAAGTGTAAATAGTTGCAACACAATAAGATGAAGTTGTTTCTGTGTAAGTGAATGAATTAATTTAAATTGTTATCAATATTATTACATTTATAATAATAATATTAAATAATAATAAAGTTTACTTTAAAATTACGCTTCATCCCCAAAGACTCGAAGCGCGAAACAAAGTCAACCATATTAAAAGAGAAATGAAAAAATCTATATTATACCACATTGAAATACAAAACGCAACACTACAAAAACTACATACGAGAATACCCATCCTAAGTCTTTCATCCCTTGCAACCATAAACAACACAGGCCAATATACATCTAGGAGATAATAGCTAGCTGGAAAAGATGGTAGGCAACATCACCCCAGCAGGTGTTTGAGAAATAGATGTGTTTTCAATTCGGTTTTGAAATACTCCATTATTTGGCTGTTTCCAAGAGCGACAGGCGGTGTGTTCTAAATTGTTGTGCCAGCAAATGCGAAAGTGTGCTTTCCGTAAGTCTCAAGGCGAAGACGTAGTATGGAGAGTTTGCCATTATCGGACGAGCGGAGTTGTTTAGTGGGTACATAAGTCGTCATGAGCACTTTGAGAAAGGACGTTGGTAGGTCATGCACAAGCGATAGCACAGATTTGCAATTTTGTACTCTATGCGAGTGCGTGTTTTGACATGGTCAAAATTGCGTTTGCGAAGAACAATGCGAGCCGCATTATTCTGTGTTTTTTTAATTTTAGCATAGCTGGAAGACCCACCATAATGTGTTCAGGAAATTAAAATATTTTATTTCCAGCAAGAAGTATGCAGGGTTAGTTGTGAATAAGATGATGCTAAGGAATAGGTCAAATAAATTGATGTTTAACTATTTCAAAAAATATTAGTAATTTGCTTCTATGGTCATAATACTGCCATTATTATTTGTGAATATTGAAATATTTTTGGCAATTTTGCTCTCAAAATGCAGCGGGCATTTTGTGTTTCTCCAATTTATTTAAACAAGTTTTTTGATTTTCACATATTCAATTTTCTTTGCTACTACTACTAGTTTCAGAAAACATTTTTTGTTACATGTTATCAATTTGAATTTTTAAAAAATTCAATAATTATTGTTTAGTTGGGGGGGGGGGGTTGGTGGAGGAGTAAATTAGCAGTCTTACAAAAATTGCCAAGTGTTAATTATTTAGTAATTTAAATGAAGAAAGTTATAGCTGTTACAAATTCCAAATGAACTTTTAAAATTACTGCATTGGTTCGGAAATCATAATGTCTCACTTTCCCTCAGATATATCATATATTAATAAATATATGACACCTTTTGTAAATATTTCCTTTCTTTTCTTTGATACAATTTAGATAACATTTATTTTAAAATTACATATTTTAAATAGCCATACAAAATCTATGGACCTTTTTTTACAAAACAGTATTTTTTCTTCATTTTTTTGGGACTGCAAATTTTGGGGAAACCTACGTAAGTTTTAAATTAAATCCAAAATGATAATTATTAACTAATATACTAATAGATTGTTTTATTTTGTTGCTAACAATCAACTTTTTTTAAAAGTAGTTTTTTTGGTATTTACATTCATGAATTAGTTTAAACAAATCAATAGTTTCAAATAAAAATTTTGAAAAACTTTACTTTATTAATTACAACTAAATTTAAAAAGAAATTGTGGAAGCCATGCTTGTTCAAGGGAACCTAAATTTCAACTAGCATCTTTTCTGTTGATAGCTGGTTAAGTGTAGAATGTTGCAAAACGTAATTTATGCGTGCTCTAAAATACATCCGATCATATTGCATTCATCAAAAATTTTCTGTGGAGTGTCTTAGTGAGACCTCACCCTCCCCCCCCCCCCCCCAGGTTTCTTTCGGTGGCCTCGATCTCTTCCTTCTCCCCCCAATTAATGGGACAGTCCAGACTGACACGTTTTAAACTTAAAAAAAAAGCGCAGGATGAAAGTAATTAAACTTATTTTTTTAGTATATGTAGTTGAACTATATAGATTTCAGAGACAAAACTTAATTGGAGCTAAAGCATACCTAAGGGGCCTCTACTATCAGAATGACTCCATGGTTATGAATGGTGGTGGTGACGAAGCAAAAGCTGACCATCGGCATCAAAATTCATAATTTCGTTGCTGATGGATGCCCTGACCCCCTCCCCCAACCATCTGAAATAATTACCTCCCCCCTTATGCGAAAGAAGTACTTGAAAGAAACTGGTCAAAACGCAAAGGCCAACCTGGGCCATAATGCTTTTCATAACATTTTTTGAATAGTAGGCTATAGGCAGAGCCATGCCAAGGAAAAGCAGTCCCCGATGCGGACTAGAAAATCATGTTGTAGCTCCTGCTATGTGAAGTACATGGGATTTCATTGTTTAATTCACTTAATAAAGGCCTATCTAAAGAAGATTTTGCTGCCCCTTGATATTGGCGCCTCGGGTGATTGGCCCTCTCACCCCGCCTTCGCTTGGCCCTGAGTATATAGTGGGATAGGGCCTCAATGCATTTCTGTATCCACGGCCTCCACTTCTGTTAATACGGCCCTGTGTTAATCTCATATGCTAATTATTTGATTTCATGGGTCCCTTCCATAGCTTATCTACAAATGAACATGTCTACCATTTCATGTAGACTACATATCATAAACAGATAAGTTAAGAGTATTTTGCTTTCTAAGGCTTTTTGTCTGAAACTTTCACCTTCTGTTATTGTCCTTCTTCAGGTTTTCCTCTACCATTTGAATATTCACTATTATTAAACATCTGCACTCCCTTTATTTATGAATTTTATTAATTTTCTTCTAAAATAAAATATATTTGTTCTCTCCTGTTTTAACAAATTTTGATTACTACAAAAAAATGTACAAGCTTCCCCAGTTGTTACTATATAATATAATAAAACAACGAAGTAGATGGAACCACTATTTAGGAGCTTTTTAGTACTAGCATAATCTCATCTTTGACCTTCTTCGGCACTGTATTGCTTACACTGACACATTTTTAAATAAGTTTGGGTCATGTTTTTTTAAATTTTTTTTTTGGCTTACGAACTAAGAAACGGGCTTCAGAACAAGTATCTAAGGTGACTTTTAAAAAATCATTCAAATAAAGTCTAACAATGCTTTATAGATTGAAAATCAAAATCCTCCTACCTATATTTGGCAGAGTTGAGTTGGGTGGAAAGGCAGCAGGGGCTCCATCTCGAGCTTCAATCTCAACAGTGTAAAACTCATTTGTCTCTCTATCCAGACTGATAGAGCGTGATGTAACTATTGTGGCTCTATTATCACCATTGGGGATGATTTGAAACAAATCTTTATTAGGACCTAGTAATTGAAATGTAACCTGAAAAATAATTAATAATCTTGATAATTTTTTAGCTTGACATACTTCTTATCAATAATAAAACTATTATATATAATTTCAATTAATACCTTCTTACAAGATGCTCACTTAAACTTTAGTGTCAAGATCTTTCAAAATACACTTTGTTACATGAATAATAAATTTAAAAAATTATTCAATAACATTATTCTTTATTGAAAGAAACAGTTCAAAAGTGTTTCATGAAACGATAATGCCAAATCACAATTTTTTGTTGCTTTTTTTTTTTTTTTTTTTTTTTTTTTTTTTTTTTTTTTTTTTTTTTTTTTTTTTTTTTTTTTTTTTTTTTTTTTTTTTTTTTTTTTTTTGTGCTATTTAAGAACTATGGGAGTCGAAGGAGCTGAAGCTGCAAACTAAAGCCAGAATTTTTAACACAAATGTAAAAACAGTTTAACTATATGGAGCGGAAACTTGGAAAACAACAGCGAACATTACGCAAAAAGTTCAGACCTTCATAAACACATGTCTTAGAAAGATCCTTTAACATCAAATGGCGAATTACAATCACCAATAAAGATCTACTAGAACGGACTTACCAGGTGCCTATTGACAAAGATATCTTAAAGAAAAGATGGAGGTGGATAGGGCATACTCTCCGAAAACCCCCAGATAGCACAACCAGACAATCCTTAACTTGGAATCCTAAGGTAAAAAAGAAAAGGAGGAAGTCCCAAGAATAAATTGAGACGCAAGTAAGAGGTAGACATCCAAAATATGGAATATACCTGGAAACAACTAAAAAGGAAAGCACAGGACCGTGATGAATAGGAAATTCTTGTGGATGGCCTATGCCCCAGAAGGAGAAAAAAAGGCAAAAGAGGAAGGCAAAGTTTTTTTAATAAAAAAGAATTAAAAATGTCAGTGTTCTGTTTTTTCTGCAGACATATTTATTTGTATCTCTTTCATAGAGTTTGACCATTTGTCAGGACTCTTTTATGTCATTGCTGTTACTTACAGTTCTAAAAGCTGGGGTTTCATCCTTGTCACTTGCTGAAATTCGGAGAACTGTTGTCCCAGAAGGGGAATTTTCTGCTACAGTTCCTACATATCGACTTGTACTGGACAGACCTTCAAATGTTGGAACTTGGTTATTGGCATCTATGACATTTATAACAGGATTGATTTCAGTGCTGAGAGTCAGCCCTGACGTCGTCTAGAGAAGACAATTCAGCATATTAGTAAACACAGTGCTGTTATATCCATGACTTTTATTAATATTTGTAGACTTCAATTATTTTATATGAATTGATTTCATGTACTAATGATGGTTCATGAAAGTTAAAGAAAAATACTTTTTATGCAACTAAAGTAAATCATGGACACTGATATTAAAATGCAATGATGATCTGAATTTCAAAATTAACCAAATTTATAATTCCACAAAAATAAAGTATTTAAAATAGACCTAAAATGCTTGGAGATAAAATTCATTAAAAAAAAACAAACTATTTGAAACGAATAATCTATAATGTACTTGAAACGTATACCTGACAAACAACAGACAATTGGTACTGTTTTTTGGTGATGTAATTCAAAGCTGTGGCAGATTTTAACACCAGATTCATGGAACTGCTATTTAATTTAACAGTACCGAAAGTTGGAGAATCTTGTGTAATTGAAACAGCTGGTTCAAAAACTAGAAACTTAACTTCAGGAGCATCAGGTATATTAGAGTTACAGATGAATGTTGTAAGAATAGTTCCTATGGGTGCACTTTCACTTATGCTGAATACAAGAGGACTTGTGCTATTAAGCCACCTGGAAGATTAAAAAAAAAGCCCATGATATTGAATCTTACCTTTTTGGTTCAATTATTGCATCAGTAAGTAAGTCTTACTAAGATTTTTATAAAAATATTGTGAAATATTTAGCTATTAAATATACATGTAATAAACCAAACTTGAAGAAACAAATAATAATTATTCAAATAATTTTTTCAAGTGAGATTTTTTCCATTAGTTATTACATGTTTGTCAATTGATAAAATACTACTTAAGTATTTATACAACATGTTCCATGTCAGTTTTCATTTGCAATGTTTAAGAGAAAATAAGCTTTACTCACACTGGAGGTGCCCTGTCATTAAGTTTGACATCTATAACAACAGTGGTGTTTCCTGACAGGGCCCCTGGGTCAGTACCATGATCGGTAGCAATGACTATCAATGTGTACTTAGTAATACAGGATGATCAAAAACATAAATGTAGGTTATTTTTATCTAATACTAACAGCTATTACTATTACTGTACAAAAATCATTCTTTGTTTAATGTGATTTATAATTTATTTTAAAAAAAACAACTAATTATATTGCACAACGTAAAAGAAAATTAAAATTAAAAAAATATAATCAATAAACAATACCATTTCAAATACTCAGTAAATAAATACACATGTGGGATAGAAAATAAAAACTCATAAGAAAAAATTACCTGGCCTGTTGATGTGAGGTCGCCAATAAGTTTAATCACACCAGTATTGGCACCAATAGAAAACAAGCTGATTGTCAATGAATCATTTGTACTAAACATGTAGGTCATCTCAGCATTTACTCCAACATCATCATCTGTTGCAACGATCTGACTGATTGTCTAAATGTGGAGAAATGAAAATGTAATCATCAATATTTTCTATAGTGGTTATTGCTAAGTAAAAGACTAGGTTGTTTAGGATAATTTGGTTTGGGAGTGGGGGGAGAGTGAGATTACTTCGGCCAGGTTAGGCAAAAGGAATGAAAAAAAAGACAAAACAAAGAACATAATTATTTCTTCTTCTTCTTCTTCTTTATTTTGAGGGCTCACGATCAATGGATTGATCATCCTGGCGCCTATGTTTCAGAGGGGTTCGCGATGTTACTATCCATAGTTTTCAAGGGGATACTTTACTGGTTGCAAGAACTACTCAGCTGTGGTGCTATGAACTGGGGGTTGGAAGACAGGAGGAAATAGACTCAAATGTGTCGAGTGTAGCGTCTCAAATTTTGCTTTTGGAAGCTGTTCCAGTCCCTTATTGTCTTTGGCAGGCATGAGGAGCTACTATACTGAGTTTTTTTTTTATTAGTCGGAACATCCTGTCGTGGCACCGTCGCTGTCTAGGGGGAATATGGACGAGTTTCTGTTTGATGCCAAGCAGTTGATTAGTCCATTTTTTTGATCTTGTACAACATGGTGAGCCTGGATAGTCGTCGTCATTCTTCCAATGGTGACCAAGCCAGTGTTTCTGTAGCGTTTCAGGACAAAGCGTGCTGCCCGTCACTGGACCGCCTCCAAACTGTCGATGCTTTTCTCGGTAAATTGATCCCAGACTGTAGAAGCGTACTCTAAAAGTAAATTGATCCCAGACTGTAGAAGCGTACTCTAAAAGTAAATTGATCCCAGACTGTAGAAGCGTACTCTAAAAGTAAATTGATCCCAGACTGTAGAAGCGTACTCTAAAAGTAAATTGATCCCAGACTGTAGAAGCGTACTCTAAAAGTAAATTGATCCCAGACTGTAGAAGCGTACTCTAAAAGCGGGCGGACAAAGGCTTTATAGGATTTTTCTTTCACGCTTGAGTTGCCGATCTTCAGATTGCGCCTTAGGAACACCAGGGTCTTGTTTGCCCGGTTGCACACACTGTTAATGTGCTCGCCCAGTGACCTCTGTTTGAATGGTAACACCTAGGTACATAACTGATGAAACAGGCTCTAGAACAGCGGTTCTCAACCTGTGGGTCGTGACCCCTTTGGGGGTCGCACGACCCTTTCCCAGGGGTCGCCTCAGACCACCTGAAAACACATATGCTCTACATTTATGAAGTAGCAACTAAAATAATTTTGTGGCCGGGGGTCGCCACAGCATGAGGAACTCTATTAAAGGGTCGTGGCATTAGAAAGCTTGAGAACCACTGCTCTAGAAAATGGCCATGCAATTCGTAAAAGTGGTGTAGAGGGGATCTGCTTCTGAAGACTGACATGGTCTGGCACTTAACGGGATGAAATTCCCTGTTCCAGCTCATCTCCCACTCAGCTAACCGATTGAGGTCCTGTTTTAGCTGGGCCTGGTCTGGACTGTTGGCGATCGTACTATACACTGACGTGTCGTCTGCGACAAGTCTTGCTTGAGAGGTCAGCTTCTCGGGCAGATCAATGATATATGCTAGAAACAAACAGGGGCCTAGCACCGAGCCCTGGAGAACCCTGACTTAACATCGACAAAGGAGGAGGTTGTGCCATCTTCCACTACTGCCTGGCATCGGTCGCTGAGGAAGCTAGAGTTATATATTTTGGTAGTGCCTTGGATCCCATATCTCTGCAGTTTGTGTAATAGCAAGCTATGTTTGACACTATGAAACGCCTTTGAGAAGTCCAGCTCAAACACATCAGTTTGCTTGCTGTTCTCCAAATTGGAAGTCAATTCTTCAGCAAATTCAAGGAGTTGGGTCTCACACAATCTGTTGACTCGGAAGCGATGCTGACAGTCACTGAGTATATTGTGTCTTTCAAGATGATTCATGACCGCTCTTACGATTATGTGCTCTAATAGTTTGCATACGACGATGCTGAGGGATACAGGACGGTTGTTGGCTGGGTCGTAATGCTCCCTTTTTTGTAAATTGGAGTGACAGGCGCTGATCTCTAGTAATTTGGAGCATTGGCTGTGGATAGCGACGATTGGAATAGGATTGTCAGGGCAGTAGCGATTTCATTGGCCAATTCTTTTAGCACTCCTGGTTTGATGTTGTCAGGACCACATGCCTTGTAGGGGTTAATGGTTTTAAGGAGTGACAGTACACCCCGCTATGAAATCTGGATATCTTCCATGGCGGAGTAGGTTGTGCTCATCATGTTGGTTTTCAGAAGGAACTCAACCTCTGAGTACTCTCTACCATCACCAAAGACCGACTGGAACTGTTGATTCAGTTTGTCCGCCTGTGTTTTGGGTTCAGACGTCAACTGGTTTTCCTATCTCAGGGGCAAACCCTGGTGTTTGATTACTTTTCTTGCTAGACTTAGCTCTAGAACCGCTTGTTCTTGACACTCTTGTCCAGAGTATCTTCCTCTGAGCAGATGCCGTTCAGATAGTGCCAGTAAGATCTGCGCAGTAAGCGTTTGATGATTTTCTGAGCCTCAATACTTCGGCTTTTTGTTCAACCGAGCAATTCTTCATTCGTTTGTACTGGCGGTCTCTCCTGTGTATGAGCCTTCGGATTTCAGCCGTGACCCATGGCTGATTTGTCGTAGGTTTATTGGTCTTGTGTGGTATGAATTTCTTCAATGCATCAGTGATTGTCTTGAATTTCATCCACAGCTCTTCTGTTGTCGCTTTACCCTGAATCTCGTGCATGTTGAGCTCAGCTCTTTCGTTGCCCTTCTCAGACTATCCCAGTCTGCCTAGGCATAAATGGAAATTTCTCGCACTGCCTGTTTATTTTTTAGCCCGCTGACTTGAATATTGTTTCCCCACCTGGGTTCTTTACCCATCTGTTTCAGATCATGGTTGTTAATTATCTCCATGAATTCAGAGTGTAGGACAGGGCATGGGGACTTCGGCTTCAAGGCAGTAATATGCCAGTTCCAACCAGGAAAGTTGAAATCTACCCCAATAAGAAGAGATACGTTCTTCGACTGAATTGCTCTCTGAAGTGACACATCAAGCCTCCCCAAGCTTGGTTCATCTGCTGTGTTGGGTCTGTAGCAGACACAAACGTAAAGTGTGCGTTGTCACGGTCAGATCGCGTGAGTTTTTCTGTGTCTGCTTTGATGATGACAATTGAGAAATCGTGGGTTTTGTTTCCTCATATACCCTACGAATTTTGCTCAGTCATATATGACTGTTGTGGTGTGAAGAGAGGAACCACGTGATAAGAGGAGTGTGTAAACAGGAGGCGAGTAGTTAGAGAGCGAGACAGTGGCGAGTGCTGTGGATTGGATGTAAGGAAGTTAGTTTTGTGAAGAGAGGGATTATTTTCTATGGATGGCAGAGAACTTATGTAACTATATTTCTTATAGCATGTGCAGTATTTTCTGGACCCAATTTTTATTCTGAACACCAGATATTAATTCTTATGAAGTTTTTTACTGTTACGCATAGTTCTAGGCCCTTACAAATTGTTCTGTGGCTAATACGCAGGGACCAACCCCTAGGCAAAGTACGTCACGTCACATGCGTCTACCCTTTAGCTTCACCGTCACCCACAGGAGTTCGCAGTCATCAACATCTAGTTCTGGAACAGCGTGACAGTCCAGCCTGTCATGGACAGCAACAAGTACTCCTCCTCCTCCGTCTTTTCTGTCTCGCCGGAATAGTTTTTAATTATCCGGTACAACCTCTGCGTTTGCTATGGAGGGATTCAGCCATGTTTCTGCACACAAGACGATTTCAGGTTTTATGCTGTTGATCAAGTTGGCTATTTCGACTCTCTTTCCGCTAGCAAACTGAAATTTCACATTCAATATGTTTGCAGATGCCTTCTTCAGCCCTTTTACGTGATTGTTTAATAGTAATAAAGCATACAGACTAAATTAAAAAAAAAAAAACTTACACTGTTGCGAGGTGTGCTGATAGCAATCTCTATGTTGTACAAAGACTGATAGAAGGTTGGTGTGTGGTCATTGATATCAACTATTGTGACACGGAATGTACACCAGCCTTCCATTTGTGTAATTGTGGGGTTACGACCTACGACTGTCACCTGCAATGTAAAATTTGAGTTTTAAAAGAAATTGAATGAAAATGGTTAAACAATATAGGTTTTGAACTGAGAAGATAATTCAAAATAAAATGTGAAGAATGTTACTGACTACATTATATTAATATTATTATGTTATAAAATTATATACTTCTAAAAAAATGTGTAGTTCTTTAAAAATATATATAATTTTTAAAAACGTTAACTACATTAAAAATTAATTACAAAGAATGTAATGCGAAAGGCAATTAATTGGTAGATAATTTAAATAGTCTTGAATATATGATATCAACCATAATTTTGATCAAGGTTAAATTTTATTATGTACTGCATGTACCATGTTATAGTTTTAAAAAATATAGACCATTGATTTTATTTATCTTTTTAAAGAAATAATTTTTCATCCTTTAGCACAAGGACTGCTACTTAACTACGCACGGATTAAAATTACTTTATTATAAATAACCCAAGGTTTCTTTACCTATCAATTGGTAAAACTTTACCTGTATGAAACTATCTGTTCCTCTAGTTATTATTGTTTTCACAGTGATGCTACCGTTATTTTGATCAATTTTGAAAGGGGCATTGGGCTGACTAGGTGAAGGATTTTGTATATCGTAGAGAACACGACCATTTTCTCCTCTGTCTGGGTCAGTAGCTACCACCTAAAGAGAATATATTGTTTCTTGTTTTATATCTGTTAAATAATTGACATTAAGTTTTTATTTCAATGTATTCAAATGTAATATTTAAATACAAAAATTAAAATACAACAACAAGATTATAAATTATTATTGCCTGAATAACTTGAGTTCCAATGGGAGCCTTTTCTTTAACACTTGCAATATTGTCATACAGAGTGCAATTATTAAAACTCGGTTTATCGGCATTGATGTCAATGATGTTTACGGTAAAAACTGCAGATGAAGTTCTTGATCCTGTTTTATCCTTGCAACATTGGTCATCATCCACACCAAGAACTTTTAGAGAGTATGAGTCTCTATCTTTAGGAATTGTGCTTGTCAACTGAATCACACCAGACTGGGCATCAATTTTAAATATGTCAATGGTGGGGACCTGAGATCCTTGATTGTCTGCAAAGAAATTTACAATTAAGATAAATTTATTCATTTGTATGAACATATGTATTCCCGACTATTTTTTAAAACTTAATAAATCTTTTTAAACACCACTTAAATGGTCATGAAATTAATTTCTTTCATTATGGCTGTTAATAATTTATTTAGTTTTTCTAATTAGGAAGAAAAAAAATGAATAAAAACTATGTAATAATTTCAAAGAAAAATGTGGTATAAATGTATTTCTTACTTGCAAAATAGAACCGAATACTGTCTCCATCAACATCAGAGGCCTGTATTATAGTCACCACAAAGTTAGTTTGGGCTGTCTCTGTGAGACTCAACAAGCTTGTACTAAAGGTAAAAAATATACACAGCATTGCTATAAGTAAATAATTAAATTTTATATTAATTAAAAGGTAAGAAAAGCCAAATTACTAAAGGGCTAAAATTAATATTTGCTAATAATTTTCAAAAATTACAAGACAAATAGGACATCTTTAAACCAATGTCTTTGGAAGAAAGTAACATTTCACGCTCTCGAAAATTATTATTTTTTTAAAATAAAAATACATGGATAAACTGTATTTTTATTTTAAAGAAACATTATTTTAAATCTTTTCCACGGAAAAACCTTATAATACTATTAACAACTGAGATAGTAAAATCGTAACATCAATTTAGTGTAATACAATAGTAATAATGCTAACATCTGTGACAATAAATTTGTGACAGCCTTTAAACAGATAACAGTGACAATAAACTTACCTGTTGTCAATTATAGGATTGTTGTCATTTACATTTGTGACTGACACAAGAACTGAAACTGTAGCTGATCTAGGAGCAGTGCCTTTGTCAGTCACCAAAAGTGTAAAATTATAGGTGGGACCTGGTGGCTTATCATAATCAAGAGGACTGCGAAAACATAACAAATAAGGGACCCTAAAGCAAGTATTCTTAAAGTTTTAAAAGCATTTATACCCTAACGGCCAAAAACAATAACATGCAGGGGTTGCACTAGAAGAAAATAAAAAGAGTTTCATGTCTGTCTATTTATCTTTTTGTTTTAAAACGACTTTTCGGTTTTTTAAATTCTTTTCTAATGATTCATTTATATGTAAATTCCTGTTTTTTGAGTTTATACAATCTAAAAAATTATATTCTATATGATATTACATGTCTTGTTTATTTTCTGGTAATTTCCCATTTCAGACTAACTCTTAAATGATGGGGTTGCACCCCTTCTCCCAGAGCTCATTGTGATTTAAAAAACAAATTATAATTTGCCATAGGGAAAAATGTTGGTAAGACTGAAAATTATTTTTTTCATCTTATTATCTTATCTTATAGATAAAACATATAATTTATTCATTTATCTTTTGAACTTTCTCATTTCAGCTAAAAAAATATGTTACATTACATAAAAATTATGCATGTGTAAATATTGGTTTTTTGAAGTCTTGTTTTCTTAATATAGTTAGAAAAGTAGCTAACCGTTAAGTTTTCAAACAAATTAAACATGGAAGAACTTATATTTATGGAAAATATAGTAATTATTACCTTATCACTGTGATTATGCCATTATAGTTGTTATCACTACCAGATACTTTGACAGTTGATACATTGAAATAAGTAGTATTTAATATAGAAAATGTCAACTCTCCATTGCTGTCTCTGTCTCTATCCTTGGCTTGAACTGAAAGATACGTGTTTTTAACAAGAAAAAATAAAATCAGAATATTTAGCTCAACTTAGTAGTTTTAAGAAAGCAAAAATTCAACTAAATTCACATACCAGTCCCATACTTAATCCAACATAACATCAAAATGCTACTTTTGTAACATTAGGAAACTTTTTTCCATAAATATGAATATTTTTTTTAAATTTACAAGTTTTTAAGATTGGAAATCTTTGTGAAAAATACCTTCTTAGCCTTGGACAGCAATTGATCTAGAAGAAGGAAAACTCTAAATTCAAAACAGGAACCAGAATGATCAATAAATTGATCCTGGGCCCTCATTTCTTTAAAAAAAAATGCAATAAACAGAGTCAAAAAGAAATAGTAAGCTTTTTAAATTTTATCATTACTTTACCTGAGAGAACTGTACTCCCGACTGAAAAATCTTCTCTTACTTCTGTGCTGTATTGTGGAGCTGAAAATGTTGGTGCATTGTCATTCTCATCAACGACCTCAATATTTAACTGGAATAAACCATACAGATTATATTATCTTCTACATTATTATTAAAAATTCAAGGTTGTTATTATGCAGAGTTATCAAAACATTACAAGTCAGAATTTTAAAAAAATAAAATAAAACCTCTAAAATTTACCACTGTTTAAAGTAATGAAGTTGTAAATATTCTTACAGTAACACTACTGGTGAGTCTGTTGGTTGTATCTTGAGCACTGACAACAAATGTCATAGATTTTAGTTGCTCATAATCAATAACCTATAAAGTAGTAACATAACATACGTTATTAAGCTTTAAAAAAAACCAAAGTTTTATCCATTCTCATACAGAAAAACTAGCATTAATAAGTCCCCAATTATATTTCAAGACTTGTTCTATACAAAAAAAAATTAATTGTAAAATATTGAAGGAGCCGAACTACAACAAGTTGATCTATCTTAAAAATTAAACACAGCTTGTTACATACACAAATAACTGTTCTATCATCTAGACTATTTTTAGTTTTTTTTATCCTACTACTACTATGAATATATCAGCAAAATCATTAATTTTCAAATATATCACTTCAACATCAATTTTAGTTGTCATGTGGAATATTTTATTCAAATGTTCCCCTCAAATCAATTTTTACCTTTGAACTTCTAAGCTTAACTGACTGAGTGAAAGGATCAAAAGAAGTCTGAGGAACAGTTGCAAAATATTGAGAAAATTGACTGCTTGAACTTTGATCCCCCAATTGAAACTGGATCTGGGCATCTCTCTGGAACAATCGTGCTTTAATCTCAAGTTGCTGATTGTCTTTTGTAAGTAACCTGGATTAGATTTACAAGATTATATTTATTTATAAATAATTTGATATTAACTAGAATACTTTGTCTTGAATGGCAATTTACAGATAAAAAATATTGTTAATTAGAAATTCTTTACTTTGGCAACTGTACTGATAAACATTAAAAATATTTCTATCAAGCTTACCAGTTACGATCAGTATCAAAAATATTTTCATAAATTTGACCAGTGTAAGGAGAAGAAAAAAATTGAGGTGGACGAAGACCAACCAAAACCTTGACATCTGCTGTTTGAGTGTTGCCCACAGTATCTCTTGCAGACACCTAAGGATTCATAGCAATTAATAAAGAACAAATGTTGAACCTACAATAGTTTGGGTGAATTTCTTAGACATACTTGTCACTTATGCTCCCATTTTCATCATTGTGTTTGCAAACATTTTGAAAAAAGAATATTTCTAATATTACACAAAAACTCACAATTAATTTAGTTAACCATGTGTATATTTTCAAATGAACATTAAACATGACTTAAGATTCAGGTGGGGAATCAGATCTCTACAATATAGAGTTAAATTTTTACATTTATTTTTCTTAAACAGTACATACTGTAATAGTATACTCAGTGCTTCCAGGGAAAGATGTTTCGCCTGATGTAACAATGCTGAATTGATTGGCACCACCAGGTTGTATTGCAAACCTACTGGAAGGTATTTCTGAAAACATTGTATATTAAACATGAAATGTCTAATAAGTTTCAGAAAAAGATATATAAATGAAAACAAATTAAATACCCATAAATTTAACAATTAAAAAAATAATGTTGTACATTAAGTTTTGTAAGTTAAAAAAAAAGTCACTAACGATTAGTTATTGTAACTGTTGGCTGTGAAGTTGAATCTGGGTCATTAGTAGTTATTGTGTAAACCAAAGTCCCAGGGGAAGCATTTCTTAACACTGAGGCTAAGAAAGGTGAAGGTTGGTTGGTAAAAGATGGTGGTTCATCATCAACATCTGATAGTCTCAACTGAATGGTTAGGTACCGAACATCTGTTGGGAAAAATCATACTATTATAATTTTGAATATTTTTTTTAGCAAAATGTAAGAATGAATTTAAAATAATCAAGCAATATTCAATTTTAAAAAATAAAACCAAAGGTCAAGTTTAATACTGCTTAAACATTTAAGCATTTAACATTTAATATATGAAGTGAGATTTATCACAGTACTTGAGCTCAATATTGGAAGTTTCGTTGCAGGAAATGTGAAGAAATAAAATTCAACCAACCTGTTCTGTTACTTGTGCTTGTAGCAGTTACATTGACGCTAAATGTTTTAAACCTTTCATAGTCAAAAAGTTTTCTTATCTTTGTTGAGAGAGCGTTATTTAAAATTAATTTTCCATTGGAAATGTCGAACATTCCTGGTGTTTTAGCAGAGTTATCCGTAATTACATATGTACTGTTTGGAGCAGCAATGGTCAGATCAAAGAGAGGCACATCATTTGCAACATTTTCAGGAATGGTAGTCAGGCTCTGGTACACCTGAGCAGATGTGAACTGATATATACCAATGAAAAATGATGTGAAAACTAACGTGGGCATAGTTCTTGGTTTGGCATTGGACCAGCCCATGTTAACAGACCTCGCAGGTGAACTTCATAAGCAAAATGTTGTCTTGACGATAAAAAATAGATTCAGTGAAGGGAACATTTTTCAGGTAAACCGTGTTCCAGAATCAAGCCTCACTGTACTAAACAAATATTTTAAAGTTTCTCTGCAGGTATTATTAGTTGAACACCAGTTTCCAATCGTACCAGAATCAGCTGTAAACAATAATTGTTAGCTTTTATTTCAATCAGAAAGAATTCTTTTAGAAAATGCAAACTAACAAAAATAAAGTTGAATGAAAGCTGGCTGTTGCGTTTTATTTTTAAATAGGAAATCAAAATATGTAGTCAGTATTTGTTTCAGACAATGTCCTCCGGGATGGGGGCATTTCAGACGTCGGGTGAGGAGGACCAGTGGCGTAGGAATAGGGGGGGGGTTGCCCGACCTGCGACACTTTTAAATTTATATGGATGGTCAGCATTTTCGGACAACTGCAGAGTCTCAATCGTGGAAGGGAGTACCGAAAAAACTCTACGCTCGCCCATGGCGGCACTTTACAAATCGGTGACCAGGGCCAATTACACTGGCATTTTTATAGGAAAGTGGGGCAGAAATCGAGGGCGCAAATTGCCCCTAAGCGAAATGAAGGGAGGGGTATAAGGAGGAAAAGATTTTCAGGCGTCTGGGGAAGGAATGTTTTTGATTTTATTATGGGGCGGGGGGGGGGGGGGGGGGTTGGGGCAGGGAAATTGGGCATTATGCCGTACGGTGTTATACCCAANAGTGTTATACACAAATTGAATTACCTTCATTTGTGGCGTGCGCCAGTGTAATGTTTTTGGCACAAGCTTAGTTACAACCCAGTATTTTCACACCAATCGGCGTGATGAAATGTGAAAAGGGGGGGGGGTAGAATTTGAGGGTGCTGAAGACTACAGAATAATAGGGTGTGCTGGGGGATTAGGTTAATTGAGCCCCTCCTCAGACAATTCCTGTGTTTAGTTTTGTATCATACTACACTTTATTGGAGCTCAACAGGGGAAATGCCAATTTAACAGTTTAGGTGTTACTTGACCTCAGAGCCTTCAAATGGGTTCTGCAAACACTGCGGCTGCAGTAGGTATTGGAAATTAAGGGGCTCACACAGGCGCGTCATGAGGTATAACAAAACTTAGTCGGCTTGTTAAGTTGTTTATTAATGGAGGCACCCATTACATAGCAATTTATATAAACTTGCAAATTCAGGTTTGGGGGGGGGGTGCCCCACCCTGCGCTACCCAAATGGCATACCTGGGCTCACAGGTGTGATTATATTTTTTCCTTGTGAGAGTGGGGGGAGTGGGGGGGGGGGGCCAAAACAAAAATTTGACAAATTCAGGTTTGGGGGGGGGGTGCCCCACCCTGCGCTACCCAAATGGCATACCTGGGCTCACAGGTGTGATTATATTTTTTCCTTGTGAGAGTGGGGGGAGTGGGGGGGGGGGACAAAACGAAAATTTGTAGGGGCCTCGAAAAGTCAAACGATCGACGGCTCTGCTTGACCTGGTTGTCATGTAGAAACAATTTTAAACAATTAATTAATTATCAGTTTTCCATAAAAAGGTTTCGATAAATAAAAACTGTTGTTACATGTTGAATGCAAATGGAAAGAGAAAAATCAACTTGCGATTAATATGTTCTTTTGCTAAATATTCCGAAGTTTAACAAGATTCAAAAAGAAAAAAACAAAACATGTTTTGTTGTAAGGTCTAAAGTCTATACATTTTAAAGTTTAAAAAACCCCACCAAAAAAACAACAACAAACAAACACAAAAAGAACAAAAACAAAAAACTGGTCATTTTATCAATCGTATATGGACGGCATAATTATCTAAAGAAGACATGATATATTTACAAAAGACAACATATATTTACAGTATGATTTTTTTCTGAGGGAAATTGTGTAAATATAGAGTATATATTTCTCAACATTCAGTTTACTGAAATGTTTATTTTCAAATTTAACATGCTATAACTCTCTTAAGATAAATTACACATTTTTTTTCTGGTGGCTGTGCCAGTAGCCAGAGATATAGCTAAGGGATGGCAGAAAAGAACATACGTCCCGGGGCGCCAGATTAGCCGGGGGGGGGGAGCAAAAGGGGCTTGGTTGGTATTAACTGGTTGAGGTATTAACTGGTTGAAAATAGTGGGTTTCAGAGTAGGAGGGGGCCGTAAAAATGATGAAACCTGCCCCTGACGCCAAACACTCTAGAGACGCCCCTGCTAGTGGCGTCAAAATATGGCGGATGTTGTGGTCCACCCAGGTGTCACCTTTTCTTTATGTGCCCGTGTGGCATTATGGAAAAATTAAGAATTTGTATTGTGAATGTAGGACGGCATACTATTTGACCGCTGATCGCACCCCTAATAGTAGCTAGACCACTAGGCAGTGTATCTACGGATACGAAAATCGGCGATCATTTTCATTGAGAAGTGTGGTCCAAGGTTGTCATTGCCAGGGTGGGGGTGGTAGATAAGCAGCCATTCCTCTAGAAATGCCCTATAAGGCTTGCGTCTCCCAATGCCTTTGTCAACCGACATCCAGCTCCTGGCCCTCTAGCGCGGCTTCAAATAAAAGCCCGGCAGACTAACAGGAGAAGGGATGAAGGCGGTCAACTGGCGCCTCAAAACCAGTAGAGCCATTGATTGTCTCGCCTGCGGGAAAACCCCTGGCAATGATGGAATCCCACTAGAAGCTCTCAAATGTGGAAAAGAAATACTATTACGGCCCTTGCACAATCTCCTTACTCTGTGCTGGGAAAGGGACAGCTACCACAAGAGTTGAAAGATGCAAACATCGTTACATTGTACAAAAAATAAAGGAGACAAGAGTGACTGCAACAACAATCGTGGAATCTCCCTTCTCAGCATAGTTGGAAAGGCTTTCGCCCGAGTTGCATTAACACGCCTGCAAACCCTAGCATCGCGTGTACCCCAGAATCACAATGTGGTTTTCGCGCCGGTAGGTCAACCATAGACATGATGTTTTCTCTGCGGCAGCTGCAGGAGATATGCAGGGAACAAAATATGCCTTTATACATTGCGTTTGTAGACCTCACTAAGGCTTTTCATCTTGTCAGCAGAAGCGGTCTTTTCCAGATCCTTAAAAAAATAAAAATAAACTGCCTTACACGTCTGCTTAACATCATCAAGTAGCTCCAAGATAGCATGCAGGGCACAGTGTGCTATAACGGTGCCACCTCAGAAGCTTTCCCAGTAGGTAGTGGAGTAAAGCAAGGCGGCGTGCTGGCTCCTACTTTATTTGCAATCTTTTTCTCCATCCTACTCGAGTGTGCCTTCAAGAACAACAGCGAGGGGATATACATCCACACTAGAGCAGTGGGAGATTATTCAACATTTCCCGCCTTAGAGCTAAGATCAAAATAAGAAAGGTCATTCTACGCGAGTTCTTATCTGCAGACGTCGCCGCTTTAGTATCTTACACAGCAGATTGCCTGCAGAGCCTTGCATTCAGCTTATTCGCTTCCTGCAAAGAGTTGGCCGTATAATTAGCCTAAAGAAACATTATTGCACAGAACGCTCACTCCCTCCCCACTATCTCCATTGACGACTGCGACTTAGATGCTGTTGACAGTTTCACATATCTCGGATCTAACATTTTGAGCACCCTCTCAATGGAGGATGAGCTAAGTGGCAGGATATGGAAGGCCGCAACTGTCATGGCTAGACTGAAGAAAAGAGTCTGGTCCAATGCCAAATTCACAACAAGAACTAAACTGCAGGTATACCAGGCCTGCGTACTAAGCACATTCCTCATTGGTTGTGAGTCATGGATCACATACTCAAGGCACGAAAGAAGGCTCAATGGCTTCCACCATGCGCCGCATCCTTGACATCAAATGGCAAGGTAAAGTCTCAAACACGTATGTCCTGTCTCAAAAAACATGTGTAGCTTCCCAGCCATATTAATCCAAAGACGCCTCCGCTGGCTTGGGCATATCAAGTGAATGAAACTTGCTCGCATATCCAAGGATGTGTTATACAGTGAGCTGGCGACAGGGAAAAGGTCGGTCGGACGGCCTCGTCTCAGATGCATAGACATATGCAGAAGAGACATGTAGGCGGCCAACATCGACATCTCAAACTGCGAGGCATTATCAGAGGATCGATCCACATGGCGGGACATTGTGAAGGAAGGATCACTACGTGCCGAGGAGCAAAATGGCTGAAACAACTAAAAAAAGCGAGGAGGATGATCAGTAAATACTGCTCCATAGCATTCGTGTGTGGGAAATGCAACAGAGATTGCCATTCGAGGATTGGTCTCACTAGCCACACCAAGAGCTGCAAGCAAACAAGATAATCTATCGTCACTCGCAGACGGAAAGATGCCATACCATACAGGGCGGAAATCTAGGTCGTCGATGAATCTTGATCGGTGGTGTGATTTGGGGAAACTTCTCCCCGGAAAATTTTTGATTATTTCAAAATCAAAATTTGTATTTTTTATTATACTTGAATTCGATGTTTCTATTATACCTTTTGAACAGAGAACAACATTTTAAAGATTTTGTGGGAGGGATTACTTAGCCCAGTTCCATATATAAACTGAATTCACTCCGTTTGTGGCGTGCCCCAGTGTAATCACTAGGCACAAGATTATAATTAATCCGTTACTGTACCATTGATCAGCATGAGGGAAGGGGTGCATAATTTAGGGTGCTAATGACAGTCGTACAAACACAAAATGCAGCAGTGCATTATTTTGGCACATACTTGAATTTTTATTTTTCTTTCAGAAAATTTTGATTGGGCATTTCAAATTTTCTGGTGGGAAGCGCCAAAATTAGCCATAATAATGAGCAAAGACATCTTAAATTCCGCACCAGCGGGACGTAAACTAAATTCACTCTAGTTGTGTCAGCCATGAGGTTACGCTTTTGCCCTAGATAAGGCCTGCATAACATACGGCCCGCGGTCCGCACGTGGCACGCCAGTACCCACTATGCGGCCCGCGAACTAACGAAATATTCATCATTATCATTATTTTCCTGATAGCTTTCTCCACCGTCCTATTTTCTTTTGGTCTGCACAAGTTTTTCATAAAGTATTACGGCTCGCCTTACATTTTAAGTTGTGTAGGCCTGTCCCAGAGTATTCTCACCAATTAAATCACTATAGTCCCCAGAAAATTGTTGATGAATTCAAAAT